GCTGTCCTGGTGTAGCAAACCTGAATCACGGCCTGTCTGTCCTGGTGTAGCAAACCTGAATCACGACCTGGCTGTCCTGGTGTAGCAAACCTGAATCACGACCTGTCTGTCCTGGTGTAGCAAACCTGAATCACAACCTGGCTGTCCTGGTGTAGCAAACCTGAATCACGACCTGGCTGTCCTGGTGTAGCAAACCTGAATCACGACCTGGCTGTCCTGGTGTAGCAAACCTGAATCACGACCTGTCTGTCCTGGTGTAGCAAACCTGAATCACGACCTGGCTGTCCTGGTGTAGCAAACCTGAATCACGACCTGTCTGTCCTGGTGTAGCAAACCTGAATCACAACCTGGCTGTCCTGGTGTAGCAAACCTGAATCACGACCTGGCTGTCCTGGTGTAGCAAACCTGAATCACGGCCTTGCTGTCCTGGTGTAGCAAACCCGAATCACAAGCTAGCTGTCCTGGTGTAGCAAACCTGAATCACGGCCTTGCTGTCCTGGTGTAGCAAACCCGAATCACAAGCTGGCTGTCCTGGTGTAGCAAACCTGAATCACGGCCTGGCTGTCCTGGTGTAGCAAACCTGAATCACGACCTGGCTGTCCTGGTGTAGCAAACCTGAATCACGGCCTGTCTGTTCTGGTGTAGCAAACCTGAATCACGACCTGGCTGTCCTGGTGTAGCAAACCTGAATCACGGCCTGTCTGTTCTGGTGTAGCAAACCTGAATCACAACCTGGCTGTCTTGGTGTAGCAAACCTGAATCACGACCTGGCTGTCCTGGTGTAGCAAAACTGAATCACGGCCTCTCTGTTCTGGTGTAGCAAACCTGAATCACGGCCTTGCTGTCCTGGTGTAGCAAACCTGAATCACGGCCTTGCTGTCCTGGTGTAGCATTATGCCCGAATCACGACCTGCTTGTAGCAAACCCGAATCACAAGCTGGCTGTCCTGGTGTAGCAAACCTGAATCACGACCTGGCTGTCCTGGTGTAGCAAACCTGAATCACGACCTGGCTGTCCTGGTGTAGCAAACCTGAATCACGACCTGGCTGTCCTGGTGTAGCAAACCTGAATCACGACCTGGCTGTCCTGGTGTAGCAAACCTGAATCACGACCTGTCTGTCCTGGTGTAGCAAACCTGAATCACGACCTGGCTGTCCTGGTGTAGATAACCTGAATCACGACCTGGCTGTCCTGGTGTAGCAAACCTGAATCACGGCCTGTCTGTCCTGGTGTAGCAAACCTGAATCACAACCTGGCTGTCCTGGTGTAGCAAACCTGAATCACGACCTGGCTGTCCTGGTGTAGCAAACCTGAATCACAACCTGGCTGTCCTGGTGTAGCAAACCTGAATCACAGCCTTGCTGTCCTGGTGTAGCAAACCTGAATCACGACCTGGCTGTCCTGGTGTAGCAAACCTGAATCACAACCTGGCTGTCCTGGTGTAGCAAACCTGAATCACGGCCTTGCTGTCCTGGTGTAGCAAACCTGAATCACGACCTGGCTGTCCTGGTGTAGCAAACCTGAATCACGGCCTTGCTGTCCTGGTGTAGCAAACCTGAATCACGACCTGTCTGTCCTGGTGTAGCAAACCTGAATCACGGCCTGTCTGTCCTGGTGTAGCAAACCTGAATCACGGCCTGTCTGTCCTGGTGTAGCAAACCTGAATCACGACCTGGCTGTCCTGGTGTAGCAAACCTGAATCACAACCTGGCTGTCCTGGTGTAGCAAACCTGAATCACGGCCTTGCTGTCCTGGTGTAGCAAACCTGAATCACGACCTGGCTGTCCTGGTGTAGCAAACCTGAATCACGACCTGGCTGTCCTGGTGTAGCAAACCTGAATCACGGCCTTGCTGTCCTGGTGTAGCAAACCTGAATCACGGCCTGTCTGTCCTGGTGTAGCAAACCTGAATCACGACCTGGCTGTCCTGGTGTAGCAAACCTGAATCACGGCCTGGCTGTCCTGGTGTAGCAAACCTGAATCACGGCCTTGCTGTCCTGGTGTAGCAAACCTGAATCACGGCCTGGCTGTCCTGGTGTAGCAAACCTGAATCACGACCTGGCTGTCCTGGTGTAGCAAACCTGAATCACGGCCTTGCTGTCCTGGTGTAGCATTATGCCCGAATCACGACCTGCTTGTAGCAAACCCGAATCACAACCTCGCTGTCCTGGTGTAGCAAACCCGAATCACGGCCTGTCTGTTCTGGTGTAGCAAACCTGAATCACGACCTGGCTGTCCTGGTGTAGCAAACCTGAATCACGGCCTTGCTGTCCTGGTGTAGCAAACCTGAATCACGGCCTTGCTGTCCTGGTTTAGCAAACCTGAATCACGGCCTGTCTGTCCTGGTGTAGCAAACCTGAATCACAACCTGGCTGTCCTGGTGTAGCAAACCCGAATCACGGCCTTGCTGTCCTGGTGTAGCAAACCTGAATCACGGCCTGTCTGTCCTGGAGTAGCAAACCTGAATCACGACCTGGCTGTCCTGGTGTAGCAAACCTGAATCACAACCTGGCTGTCCTGGTGTAGCAAACCTGAATCACGGCCTGGCTGTCCTGGTGTAGCAAACCTGAATCACGACCTGGCTGTCCTGGTGTAGCAAACCTGAATCACAACCTGGCTGTCCTGGTGTAGCAAACCTGAATCACAACCTGGCTGTCCTGGTGTAGCAAACCTGAATCACGACCTGGCTGTCCTGGTGTAGCAAACCTGAATCACGACCTGGCTGTCCTGGTGTAGCAAACCTGAATCAAGACCTGGCTGTCCTGGTGTAGCAAACCTGAATCACGGCCTGTCTGTCCTGGTGTAGCAAACCTGAATCACGACCTGGCTGTCCTGGTGTAGCAAACCTGAATCACGACCTGTCTGTCCTGGTGTAGCAAACCTGAATCACGACCTGGCTGTCCTGGTGTAGCAAACCTGAATCACGACCTGGCTGTCCTGGTGTAGCAAACCTGAATCACGACCTGGCTGTCCTGGTGTAGCAAACCTGAATCACGACCTGTCTGTCCTGGTGTAGGAAACCTGAATCACGACCTGGCTGTCCTGGTGTAGCAAACCTGAATCACGACCTGTCTGTCCTGGTGTAGCAAACCTGAATCACAACCTGGCTGTCCTGGTGTAGCAAACCTGAATCACGACCTTGCTGTCCTGGTGTAGCAAACCTGAATCACGACCTGGCTGTCCTGGTGTAGCAAACCTGAATCACGACCTGGCTGTCCTGGTGTAGCAAACCTGAATCACGACCTGTCTGTCCTGGTGTAGCAAACCTGAATCACGACCTGGCTGTCCTGGTGTAGCAAACCTGAATCACGACCTGGCTGTCCTGGTGTAGCAAACCTGAATCACGGCCTGTCTGTCCTGGTGTAGCAAACCTGAATCACGGCCTTGCTGTCCTGGTGTAGCAAACCTGAATCACGACCTGGCTGTCCTGGTGTAGCAAACCTGAATCACAACCTGGCTGTCCTGGTGTAGCAAACCTGAATCACGGCCTTGCTGTCCTGGTGTAGCAAACCTGAATCACGACCTGGCTGTCCTGGTGTAGCAAACCTGAATCACAACCTGGCTGTCCTGGTGTAGCAAACCTGAATCACGGCCTTGCTGTCCTGGTGTAGCAAACCTGAATCACGACCTGTCTGTCCTGGTGTAGCAAACCTGAATCACGGCCTTGCTGTCCTGGTGTAGCAAACCTGAATCACGACCTGTCTGTCCTGGTGTAGCAAACCTGAATCACGGCCTGTCTGTCCTGGTGTAGCAAACCTGAATCACGGCCTTGCTGTCCTGGTGTAGCAAACCTGAATCACGACCTGGCTGTCCTGGTGTAGCAAACCTGAATCACGACCTGGCTGTCCTGGTGTAGCAAACCTGAATCACAACCTGGCTGTCCTGGTGTAGCAAACCTGAATCACGGCCTTGCTGTCCTGGTGTAGCAAACCTGAATCACGACCTGGCTGTCCTGGTGTAGCAAACCTGAATCACGGCCTGTCTGTCCTGGTGTAGCAAACCTGAATCACGACCTGTCGTTCCTGGTGTAGCAAACCTGAATCACGGCCTGTCTGTCCTGGTGTAGCAAACCTGAATCACGGCCTGTCTGTCCTGGTGTAGCAAACCCGAATCACAACCTGGCTGTCCTGGTGTAGCAAACCTGAATCACGGCCTGGCTGTCCTGGTGTAGCAAATCTGAATCACGGCCTGTCTGTCCTGGTGTAGCAAACCTGAATCACGGCCTGTCTGTCCTGGTGTAGCAAATCTGAATCACGGCCTGGCTGTCCTGGTGTAGCAATATACTCAAATGTCATGACCTGGCGTGGCATCATACCCTAAACACGACCTGGCTGCCCCGTTGTAGCATCATACCCTCACCATAGATATCGGGTCAACCAATACACGGAAATATTGACGCCAGAGTAAGGGTGTAAAATACACTCTCAGTCGATTGCAGTCCGTAGATTTTCTGCCACAGAAGGCGACTATGCTTTTCGTAAAAGGCGACTAACGGGTGGTCAGGATCGCTGACTTGATTGATGCATGCCATCGTATCCCAACTGCATGTATCGATGCTTATGATGTCAATCACTGGGTTGTCTTGTCCAGACTCGATTATTCACACACCGCCGTCATATAGTTAAAATATTGCTGAGTTCGGCGTTAAACAACAAACACATTTTTTACTTAATTAAATTAAGAGTTTGTATAGCGCATTTTCCAATTAACAACTGTTCAGATGCGCTTTGACGATCAAAGGCTCTCTTTAAGAGATATGTTTCGAGGTTTTTTCTGGTTCTGTTTCTCGGATTTCTCGAGGCTGATTGTTTCATAGCATTGGGCCAGCATGTTGAAATGACCTTTCGCCATATATAATAGATCCTAACATGCTCATGCTTAAAACTTTTGACGTGAACCCGTAACATCTTCAAAGGGGCATGTTACCAACCTTACTCACCGAATACCGACTGTATTAACATAATATCTTCGGGTTAGTTTCCACATACAACGAGCATATGACAAACAAATTCAATTTTGATTCATTTAATGCTTTAGGCAGAGTAAACTCTGACACGCTGAATATTGTCTGGACTTTCAAATTGTCCGATGACAACGTTAATATATCAACACTTAATTTTAGGCCTACATAACGAGTCGTATGTGTCTGCATGGAGCCTTCAGTTTTGACATTCACATTGCTAAGACGAGGTCTTCGGAATGCCTCCCCTGCCTCCGCTTGGTGCAGCAATTTTCAAACGTGGAGCTGGAAGATGAAAAATTATAGATTTAGATATCTCCCGTGAGGAAAAATCATGACATGTAGGATTGATATTTATTATTAATGGGGAAGTATTCATATACGTGGTGGTTGCCGTGGACCTTGTGGGCGTGGTCGCGGAGGAGGGGCCGATTGCTTGTTTCCTTTGGTTTCTGAAACATTAATGTGAGTAGTCGTATTATTTTGTATTATTATATTTTTTAAAGCAAAACAAAATTACAGAACACGCGAAAGCACTATTACACACATGTTCGCTTATTTTCAACATGTGCCTAATCTATACTCGGATATTCGACTGTGACAGATGATTACAGAAATGCTATAAAGCATCGAGTGATGGCAAAGGATGGATAGGAAAAAGGTAAGACAATATGCAACATACCAATCAAGAGAACTGGTGGTGAAAGGGTTTGTTGTAAGGGTGCAAACAACGAAGAAAGACGTCCTTAAACTACAGAACGTTTGAGTAAGTTGATCGATAATGGGTCATGCCCTCACGATTGAGGGGGCATGAGCAATTTGAGGCAGTTTTGGCCACTCTTCAAGCAGCGCCTGACCCAGTTCGGCTAATGCAGCGGGTACCAACGACCCCCGATCATGTCCGATGGAGAAAAACACAGGCCCAATGTCTTACCATGGTTTCGAGCGTTATTGACTGGAAAGACAAAACGTGGACCAGTATGGCACGCAAACGGCGAAAATGTTCGCGCCGGTACGTTGTCGCAGTAGGGAACCTCCATGGGCAATACGTAGTGGCGTTCTGGCGGTCATGGTGATCCCGCCCCATACCATTTCAGACCCGCCCCCAAATCTGTCGTGTTGCCTCAAGTTGACGTTCGGTAGGACGCCTCCAGACATGTCCAAGCCTTATCTGAAAACACTGCACGAAACATTCGCCGATTCCCCCAGTTTCTACGCTCTTAACACCATTGGCATCTGGCTACAATGTCTCGATGTGCTAACGGTGGTACAGCACGTGAGTGATCGCCAAGCATGCAGACGATTTCAAAGTCGTCTGGTCAGTAATCAGAAGTCCAGCGATTTGATTGGCTTGATTTCGTACAGCCCGATTTCTGATTAATCGATCCTGGATTTATGATATTGACCTGGGACGTCCTGTGCGGGGCCGATCATTAACATTGTTTTCCAACCAGTTCCAAAGTCTGCAAATCACAGACTAAGACACATTGGTGAACTTATTTGCTACCTCTAGCCGAGTTCTACCAATTTGAAGCATGCCATTTGCATTAAAGCAGGAGTAGAGTTTACCTGTTACTGTGGATAATGAAAATCAACAATGGTTATGCTCAGAGCGATTTGACGACCTTTCACTAAAGTGTTAAAAGCTAACAACACCCCTTGCCCAGTTACGCGGAGGAATTGCACTTTCCACTGTTAGGTTTAGGTACCGAAACCGTTCTATGCCTGCCAGTCATTTTTCAAAGCTGATCTTCTTCCCGACTACCGATCATAACATTTATATTTCATGATCCACTATATTTGTGAAGAATATATGATGCATTGTGTATTGAGAAATTTATTTTGGATAATGTGGGTATAAAATGGGTCCAGATGTAAATGAACTGTTCTCTCGGAAGTTAAAATGCGAGTTTTTAAAATACTTTATCTCTCATTATCTGCCCGACCCCTTAATAATGACGCTGGGTATATATACCGCTACCTTAAGCAATGTCTGGCTTTGGTTCCATGTAATTACTATACCCAGTTTTATATTTCTATAGCATTTCACAAACATTCTTTATTTGCTCTCGTCCACTATTGAAGAAATCTTTTAATTTCGTTTTTGCCTCAGATTCACGTTTTTGCGTGGTCCCCGTAGCTTCAAAGGGCGAGACGCAGAGCACGTGGAAAAAACAGGTCAGATTCAGAGATGTGAAATCTCGCGGAAACGCGGAAAATCGTGTGTTTTTTAAAACAATAGTCTTCGGTAGAAATCATTGTTATCGTGTTTCTGGACAACCGTCGCGGATTGTCCTGTTTTCGATCAGAGCTTTCAGCATCATTTATGCCTTTATTATTATAAATGACACAAAATTATTATCTTATTTCTTTATATAAAATGACGATATGCATGCACGATCATTATGTAACAGAAGTAATGGAAACCTATATTGTTTAAAATATATGAAAATAATTGTCTTTTCTTGTCCAATTACATCTTTATCCCATCCCGTGCCCACTGATGAAAATATCAACTTTGTGATGTCATTCCACGAAAAGGGTTCTTTACCAGGAAGACACAAATATCCTCTATGTATAATACACGCTAATTCCATTTACAATGCATACTTGGAATAAATTGACAATACAAGTACGGTATCCACGTAACCATAGCCACCGCTTCATCACCATGTGTTCTGTTCATCATGTCGTGACAATAGTATCCTTATGTTGTTCCGACTCATGTCAATCTCTCTCAAATATGAAAATTGTTTTCCCTGTTAATGCTACGATACACAAGTGTGTACCATTTCATTATTCATGACCGCTTCCGTGGTCTAGTGGTAGAGCCTCCGCCCGGAGAGCGGAAGGTCCTGGGTTCGACCCCCGGCCGCGTCATACCAAAAGACGTTAAAAGATGGTACTTGTTGTTACCCTGTCTGGCGCTCGGCATTAAGGGGCTAAAACAAGGACTGGTCGGCAAAGAGTCAGTATACTGTGTCTGAGTGGGGTATTCATGTTAAACTGCGGCATGGTTTCTCAGTGAGCTAGCACTATAAATCGGCATCAATCCGGACTAGTACAAGCAGCCACACAAACACGCACACGTGCATGCACGTCGCGATATATGTGCAATAATCTTGGACGCGACGTTAAACCCCAATTCACCTCACCTCACCTCATTATGCAGCCCTGCTTGAGAACCGATTAAGTATTTATACAGCTTTTACAGTGTAATAAAGAATGTGTTATCCATCAACTGTGTCTGGTTTTACTACGGAAGCCTTTTAGGGCCATTTGTTTTTTTAAATTTTATCGATACTTAGTATTTTGAAATTTCAAGATAGTACCTTGAAATTTCAACTTAGTATCTTGAAATTTCAAAATACTAAGTTGAAATTTCAAGATAGAGAAGTTGAAATTTCAAGATACTAAGTTGAAATTTCAAGATAGAGAAAATGAAATTTCAAGATACTATCTTGAAATTTCAAGATACTAAGTTGAAATTTCAAGACACTATCTTGAAATTTCAAGATATTAAGTTGAAAATTTCAAGGTACTATCTTGAAATTTCAAAATACTAAGTTGAAATTTCAAGATAGAGAAGTTGAAATTTCAAGATACTAAGTTGAAATTTCAAGATAGAGAAAATGAAATTTCAAGATACTAAGTTGAAATTTCAAGACACTATCTTGAAATTTCAAGATACTAAGTTGAAATTTCAAGACACTATCTTGAAATTTCAAGATACTAAGTTGAAATTTCAAGATACTAAGTTGATATTTCAAGATTATTAACTTCAAACGTAATTTTACATCTAAGGATGTTAAAAACTTATTATCTTGAAAATACTCCACTTAGTATCTTGAAATTTCAAGATAGTATCAAAAATTTTTTTTTAAAAATGGCCCTAAAAGGCTTCCGTATTTGACTGTTTTACTGCTGTCATGAATAAGATTAAAGTAAATATGATTGGTTGCAAAGATATGCTAGATGCATGAGATGGTGGTGCTGAAATGGATTGACACAACCCAATATTTATAAGAAGCTTCCACGTACTCAAATACTTTTCTGGGTGTATAGAACTTAGTACAAGGACGGAGATAGGGGCTTCAATTATTGAGATGGGCCCTAGATGATAAACTGACCACCTACCATACATCTTGACGTTCAGCTCAGTCTCGTGGATAAGGGCCGAATGAAAGCCAGTCTCTGGGTAGATAGCGTCAGCTATGGCGTGGAACTAATTTTAGCCTTCTTGGAATATCCTGGTTTTTCTGATTGGGTTTCCAGTCACGCGAGCAGTAGATGTCCGTCTGTTTGGGAACACCTCACTGTGCCCTCACCTACTGTTATAGGGTACAGGTGTAGTCAGCCGTGGTTAAGTGGGTAACAATAGGGGGATTACCTATTACCTGTCTATATAGTGAGTGAGTGAGTGAGTTGGGTTTAACGCCGCTTTTAACAGTATTCCAGTTATATCACGGCGTGTCAGCTTAATGTGGGAGGAAAGCCCGAAGTGATGCAGGTCTCAGGCGTTTACCACTTCGGTGAAACCCACGAGCACGGGTATGGTGCTGACAAACTTAGAAACATAATCGGGGCGAACCGGGATTCGAACCCACAATCATAGGTTTCTGGCGTGCCCAAGGGACGCAACTCTGCACAACGAATCGCGGCGCCTTAGACGACTGGGCCACCCGTGCCCCCGCATGTCTATATAGAGAAAATTACTATCTGTCAGATTCATAAAATTTCATATACATTTCAACAGTACATTGATCAGACTACCCCCTTCAAATATAGCTCCTACGCAGGGCCTTGCAAGTACACTCGTCTATCCCACAGAGAGACGACCCCAGCCATCATATATGCCGACCCTGCACCTATATAGAAACAACCCCACAGGCACCCCCAACGTTGTGCACTAGAGATAGTTCAGCGGGACTGATTCGTTCTTGGACTCAATCCAGAATAGTACTCGTGAAGGTCCGGGGTAGAATAGGTCTTCAGCAACCCATGCTTGCCGTAAAAAGGCGACTATGCTTGTCGTAAGAGGCGACTAACGGGGTAGGGTGGTCAGGCTCGCTGACTTGGTTGATGCATGTCCCGAGTGTGTGGATCGATGCTCATGATATCAATCACTGTATTGTCTGGTCCAGAGTTGATTATTTACACACCGCCGTCATAAGGCTGGAATTTTGCTGAATGCGGCTTCAAACAAATAAACAATCCAGGATACATGAGTTACTGTTGATAAGTCTGGCCAGGTATCTTCGATCAAAGCCATTATAATTATTGCATGATTATGTCTTTTAAAAACTCGTTTCTGTATGTGCGCAATATACTTAGTACTGACAATTACATCTTTGGTCACGCGATATCTTTGAAGTTAATTGAGTAGGGAATATTTTAAATGTCTCCTCCAGAGCAGGCCAGGCATATATACTGAACAACAAAAGTTCCTGTGACATTGAATAAGATTTAATGCAAAGTAATGTTTTTTACCAAATCTGAAACAATTTCGGTTTGCAACAGATAAAAGACTCCTGTAAGTGTTCAAATGGTTTAATTTGCCATACTGGCTTCAGAAAATGCGTGATTTCATAAAAAAACAAAAACATGAACATGCCAAAATGTCAATTTACAAATCAATAGTGTGTGTGTCCACCTCTGGTTGCGATGCAAGCAACATATCTTCGTCTCATGGAATGGACCAGGCGTCGCACAAAGTCCTGTGGGATATCTGTCCATATCTGCTGGAGCATGTTTCGAAGTTCCTGGAGTGTCTGTGGAACACGTGGTTGACGTCGAAGGCGCCGATCCATCTCATCCCACATGTGCTCGATTGGTGAGAGATCAGGGGAGCGAGCCGGCCAGGTAATGACATTCACGTTGTTTTGTTGAAGAGAATCCTGAACAAGTCGAGCAATATGAGGCCGGGCGTTGTCATGTTGAAAGGTAATGCCTGTGCCATGACGACGCAAAAACGGTAGAACAGGGCCAAAGATCTCGTCGGTAGCGCTGTCCATTGAGATTTCCCTCTACCACAATCAAACGGGCCCTCTGTGTTGCTGCAATCCCACCCCATACCATAACGCTGCCGCCCCCGAACCGATCCTCTTCCATGACACAATGATTGACGTAACGTTCACTCGACGTCTGTACACTCGAATCCGTCCACCGCTGTGGCTGAGGTGAAAACGAGACTCGTCAGTGAATAGAACTTGTCCCCACTGCATGGCCGTCCAGCGTAGATGCTGTCTGCACCACTGTAGACGTGCTTGACTGCTTGACGGTGGTTTCCTGTCAAAATGGGACGTCTGGAGGGTCTTCTGGCGACAATCCCTGCACATCTAAGGCGACGACGTACGGTTTGTGAAGATATTCGTCGAAGGCCAGGGATGCTTCTTGCAGTCACTGTTGCTGGCTGGAATCGATTTCGTAGGTGTGTTGTTCGAATCCAGTTGTCTTTTCGATTATTTGTTACGCGTGGCCTGCCACTCCGAGGATGGTCTCTGACTGCATTCGTCTGTTGCAAACGTTGCCATAAACACCAAATGGTATTTCTGTGGACATTAAATTGTCTTGCAACATCACGTTGACTCGATGCTGCTTCAAGCATACCAATGGCTCGCAGACGCTCATTTTCGGACGGGCGTGGCATTTCGTAATGTTGAATAATTGCGTAAATTTGTTGTTTTTCAGAATGGTTGTTGTCAGCACGATGCTAAGCAATGCATATGGAATCCCGTCAACGCACATGTTTTTTATACGTATTCTTGGGTAGTGAAATGCAGTGGGCTTGCATAAAAGTCAACTTGTGCGTGGAATGCATGCTTTTCTGTAGCAGTTGCGTTTTTGTGACTTGATTCCATACATGTACTACAATATTGAAAACCAAACTTTACTTGTTTGAAAAATATATTAGTGTCACAGGAACTTTTGTTGTTAGGTATAGATACAGCTAGCCCCAGACAATGTAGGCTGTAGGATTATCCACTCACACCTTAAGGGTAGACTTAAAAATCTAAAGGACAATATTTGTCATTTGTATCAATGTGCACATATTCGTACAGAGCTAATGTATTGTCGGAGACTTTGGATTCAGATTAGGGATACACATCACATGCATATTGCATGTCGAAATTCAGAAATTAGCAGGAGCCGTATTCAACATTTCAAAACCATGGCCTGGCTGTCCTGGTGCAGCACCATACCCAAATCATGGCCTGGCTGTTCTGGTGTGTCATTATACCCGAATCATTTCCTGGCTGTTCTAGTGTAACATTATACCCGAACCATGGCCTGGCTGTCCTGGTGTAGCACCCTACCCGAACCATGGCCTGGCTGTCCTGGTGTGTCATTATACCCGAACCATGACCTGGCTGTCCTGGTGTGTCATTATACCCGAACCATGGCCTGGCTGTCCTGGTGTGTCATTATACCCGAACCATGGCCTGGCTGTCCTGGTGTGTCATTGTACCCGAACCATGACCTGGCTGTTCTGGTGTATCATTATACCCGAACCATGGCCTGGCTGTCCTGGTGTGTCATTATGCCCCAACCATGGCCTGGCTGTCCTGGTGTAGTATCAAACCCGAACCGTGGCCTGGCTGTCCTGGTGTGTCATTATACCCGAACCATGGCCTGACTGGCTGAATCCCATATTCGATTCAATTATCATAAATACAACATGCTCGTGTTTCACCAAAGTGGTAAAAGTCTTGAACTGAAACCTACTCAAATGGCCGTTGAACCAAGCTGACTGAATACCGACTGTATTAAGGCACACGGATAAAAACAAACATTCAAATTTTGATTTATTTATATCAACAGTTAATGTTTAGTCCGACATAACGAGGTCGTAAATGTCTGTATGGTGTTTTTAAGTTTGACATTTACATTGCTAAGACTACGGAAAGCCGGCTCCGCTTGGTCTCAGCGAAGCAGGCACCAAACGTGGAGCTGAAAAATAGAAAAAAGTGATTTTCATAACACCTATTGATATCAGATATCTTCCGTGAGGAAACATCATGATACTTTATTACCGATATGTATTATTGAAGGGGACAAACATTAACATACCCGGTGGTTGTCGTGGTGGTGGTTGCTGTGGGGGTGGTCGTGGAGGAGGGGCCGATATCTTGTTCCCTATGGGCACGATTTGTCCTGCAAGAGAAAATAATAGGATTCGAACCCATACCAGCCAGCCAGAGTGAGGCACCAGTCGCGTCACATGGGGTCTGGCGTTGGTACATGTACACCAGGTCAGGGACATGTTGCTTTAGGGAGGGTAGCACAATTAAGTTGGGGACAAGTGATACTTGTACAAATATTTGCCCCTCCCCCTGATCTGATCGACAATAAAGATCTAAATTGTGATAAAACGGGCCTTACATCGCGAAGCGCATCAAATCATGTGAGCACCTTGATTAAAAACTTGTAAAGATTTGAAACAAATCTGTTGACAACGAGTTGGTGGTGCACATGATTTGCAAATCCTGCAATCGACCGATCTCTGCATGATACGGCCCCTCTAACGCTCTGTCATTTCCCCTACCCCAGAACGTGCAGTGCATGCGTGCTTGCGCTGTGCCTTCCACGGTTTGTCCCCCTACGTGTCATGTACACATTTCTATACAAAATTACATGATAGTTTCTTAAAGAACTTCATCCGTCATGGGTCTTAAAATAAACAAAATTCAGATTTTGTTGGGTACAGGGTATTCATGGTCAAGTACCGTATTGATGTTTCATACACTTTTCTGGATTTCGAGTTATTTTGCAATTCATCGTTCTCATTTTGAGTCAAACGGACTTTTTTTGTAGAACACAGCCTGTCGACGCCAGTGACATTTTATTTCACTCGAGTGAAATAATACTCCATGTTAAGGATAACGCTCATTCCTTAATATTCTAGGAAGATAAGTATCATTATTTGTAACGAGTGCCCAGCTACGAGTGCTTTATCTACCTTAAAGTACTGCACCAACTAACAACTTACTGTATGCTCAGATTATAAATAAACCTTAACATTATAATATATTAGTAAAAAAATTAAAGTAAATAAAACGCAAATATGCTGCAAGGAAATTTCGTGCAGTAGGTTCATAATCAATGAGCATCTTGAGCTTCGTGCTTCGATATCTCCGATGCATAATTAGTCGATATATTCGTACTGCACGTGCATTTAGTGCGATTTGATCGTTGTAGCCTTTAAATGCACCTGCTTAAAAGTAATTCATTTGCTGACAGTTTTGGCCAGTAAACGGTGAATTCGTTGCAGATAACCTAAGTTAAAACAATAGAGCGACGTCAGAGCTGTACTTTACACTGAAACTACTTTCAGCATACCTAAGCGACACTGAAATGAAATGTTTATATCACCTCCTGACCTAGTCTATGTTTAGCCAAGCGTGACCGTTGATTGCATTCGTGACCAACTCGTGTTATTCCGGGACAAGATATCTTCTTGCAGGTTACGGAAAGTGGCGAGTGGTGACGAATGCTTCTTGCAGGTTACGGAAAGGGTCGAGTGGTGAAGAATGCGTTGGTTGATGTGATTCACACGATAGTCTCGTATAGCCAAAACGTGAACCGTGGCTACGGCTTTGTTTCTAGGCTAAGGTGGAGGGAAGCAGACGACTCTTTTTAATTTAAGGGGGAAACAAAAGGAGAAAAGGGAAACGAGAGTCAAAAGAGATTGATGGTAAAGAATTAGGGTGGCAAAATGTCTATTGAGAAAAGTTCCGCGTCAGGCAAGGCTAAAACTTAGTCAAGAACGAGAAAGTTTCAGAATGACTTGTTGACCGAATTCCAATGGCTGCGACACGTGTGTGAGAATGCAAGTTGGGAATCAGGGTCATTTTGTTCTGTAGAAGTTGTGAGGCTGCAGGAAAATTAAATCGTTTAACGAATCATATAGAAACATGCATTAACCAGCAACAATAGATCACCATGGCATTCAGTGACAGACACCATGAGACTGTTATCGCCAGGTTAAATAATAGGACGGCAGTATGTTGACCGTACCGGTATTTTTAAGTGCTGTGGGGTCAGTGAACCCAAGGATTTATAACTGAACGAAAACACTGATGTTACTGTTGCCAACTTGATCAAAGCAAATATCATTGGTTGCAAAGATTAACAAAATAAATGTGGTGGTGGTGTTGAAATGACTCTAACAACACAACATTTTTACGAAGCACTTCATGATAAAAGTATTCTTCTCGATATACCATATACTACAAGGCATGAGCTGGTTTTAATATAAACTGAGATAGGTGAGTGAGTGAGTGAGTTTGGTTTTACGCCGCTTTTAGCAATATTCCAGCATTATCACGGCGGGGGACACCAGAAATGGGCTTCACAACTTGTACCAATGTCGGACTCGAACCCGGGTCTTCGGCGTGACGAGCGTCCGCTTTAACCACTAGGCCCCTTTCCTGAGATAAACCCTGCGAGATCCTAAACCGGGGTAGAATAGGTCTTCAGCAACCCATGCTTGTTGTAAGAGGCGACTAACGGGATCGGGTGGTCAGGCTCGCTGACTTGATTGATGCATGTCATCGATCCCAATTGCGTGGATCGATGCTCATGATATCAATCACTGGATTGTCTGGTCCAGATTCGATTATTTACAGACCGCCGTCATATAGCTGAAATATTGTTGAGTGTGGCGTTAAACAACAAACAAACAAAACTGACCACCTACCTTTACCAGACATCCTGACTTCATTCGTTCTCGATCTCGGGAGGGAGGAATGGGGGATGTTCACATATGAACATATATGCACGAATGATCATTCCATTTTCACCACCAAGTTTCACTTACATGCAACAAACGCTCTACAGGTAAGCAAACCATATTTCCCGGTTTTAACAATGAGGGTGGTCTTGGTTTGATTTTGGTTTGTTGTTTTACGCCACACTCAGCCATCTTTCAGTTATTTGACGGCGGTCTGAGAACAATCGATTCTGGACCAGACAATCCAGTGATTGACATCATGAGCATCGACCCACGCATAGGGATACGAGGATGATTGTGGCCGGTGGCATAAATGTTACAAGCATTCCTGGTGCCACGAAGCGTATTTCCCTTGATAAGCTTTCTCTGCATTGTTTCAAAAAACACAGCGTCGGAGGTCAAATTCTGATTATTACTTTAATTATAATAATTATCTATTAATGAAGCATCCCGATTTGCTTACATTATACTCATGTTGTTCATACAAAAAAAAACTGAATTATTACCGTGCATCGTGAGTGAATGATTTTATTACTAACAGATATTGTTTATCACATGGCAAAAAACAAGCAAAGCATAGCACAAGATGTTTTTAACGGACTATTTAAGCAAATCTGGCACTGTGTAAAACTTTAAAAAGCAATTCCTCTTTGCAAGGACAAAGGTAAGACCGGCCTCTCCTCATATGGAACTGGTGAGGGTCTGTTCCCGGGAGAGACTGGTTGCTGTAACCGCAGAGGCACTCGGGTCTACCTCGGGGGCACCACGTCTTGGTTCATCCTCAAAACATCCACACAACCACCGCCGCCTGAGGAACACAGCGTCCCCAAACTTGACCAGTGACCATGGCAGGATGGACGCAATGAGCAGCTCGTGGAGAAGAAGCTGTTTGGATGTCCACTGGCGGCGTCCTTCTCCTGAGACCGCCATGCCTGAGGACATAATAAAGCAGTGTTAATCGCTAGTGAGTGAGTTGGGATTAACGCCGCCTTTAACAGTGTTCCAGTTATATCACGGCGTGTCAGCTTAATGTTTGTGAAATGCCCGAAGTGATGCAGGTCTCAGACGTTTATAACAGACAATCCAGTGAATGACATTATCAGCATCGATCCACGCAACTGAGATACGATGGCATGCATCAACCAAGACCATCCGATCCCGTTATAGGTGCCTCTTACAGCAAACATGGATTGCTGAAGACCTATTCTAACCCGGATCTTCGGGGGTTCGTTGGAGGATTGGGGTCTGTGTGGTTTATCGCTGCAATTTCCGTGTTTTCGGCAGTCAGTTCCAGAAATAACCCAATAGCACTGACTGTGATCTCAAGTCTTGAGATTATGGACACGTAATAGCCAAGGAATGTTTGAGTCAGCGAACGTTTGGTTGAACCTGGTAAAGTACACAACATAAGAACCGTGGTAAGATACGGAACGACGCGTTGGAACAGAGAACAGAGTGTGGTCGAAATGTTGAGGATCTGACGTCTATAAAGGATGTGGCGTCTATAAAGCTAGAGTGAGTGAGTGAGTGAGTGAGTGAGTGAGTGAGTGAGTGAGTGAGTGAGAGTGAGTGAGTGAGTGAGTGAGTGAGTGAGAGTGAGTGAGTGAGTGAGTGAGTGAGTGAGTGAGTGAGGTTATACGCCGCTTTTAGCAATATTCCAGCAATATCACGGCGGGGGACACCAGAAATGGGCTTCACACATTGTGCCCATGTCGGGAATCGAACCCAGGTCTTCGGCGTGACGAGCGAACGCTTAAACCACTAGGCTACCCGACCGCCCCTATAAAGCTATAAAGGATGTGACGTCTTTAAAGGATGTGGCGTCTATAATGGATGTGGCGTCTATAAAGGATGTGGCGTCTATAAAGGACGTGACGACTATAAAGGGTGTGGCGTCTATAAAGGATCTGACGTCTATAAAGGATGTGACGTCTATAAAGGATGTGACGTCTATAAAGGGTGTGGCGTCTATAAAGGATCTGACGTCTATAAAGGATCTGACGTCTATAAAGGATGTGACGTTTATAAAGGGTGTGGCGTCTATAAAGGATGTGACGTCCATGAAGGATCTGACGTTTATAAAGGATGTGAGCAATATCATTAAAATCAGATCTTAGTTGTCGCTTCCGCCAAACAAACTTGTAATTAGCGGTAGCGAGAACTAAGATCTGATTTTTATAAGACTCGAATGTGAGTATCAAGGATATGCAGTCTCATTTAAATCAGACCTTAGTGTTCGCTACTTTAGCGTGAATTAAGGCCTGATTTTAATGAGAATAAAGCTTGTGTTGACTTGTTTCTCTGAGTGCGAGACGACTGTGAGATTAAATGTTAAGTGTTAACATCCGACACAGAGAGACAGCACACCGACACCGACAATACTGTATAGGACCTATCAGCCTCAAAGCCTTCTCACACTAAACCAGCGCTGCGACAGAAGTCGGTGAGTTTTATTTTAACCCCCATTTAGGCAGCGCTTCAATGCAGTAAACGCATCGATTACCAAATAAATAACATCGAAGTAAATACCTGTACGTTACCGGGTGATTGTGATAACCAAACGTGATGCAGGTCTCAGACGTTTACTACTTTGGTGAAACCCACGAGCACGGGAATGGTGCTGACAGACCTAGAAATTTGACCCAAGAAATATAACAGGGGCGAACCGGAATTCGAATCCACGATCATAAGTTTCTTGCGTGAAAAAGGGCGGTCGGGTAGCCTGGTGGTTAAAGCGTTCGCTCGTCACGCCGAAGACCCGGGTTCGATTCCCGACATGGGTACAATATGTGAAGCCCATTTCTGTTGTCCCCCGCTGTGATATTGCTGTAATCTTGCTAAAAGCGGCGTAAAACCTTACTTATTCACTCTTGCGTGAAAAAGGGACGCAACTCTGCACGGCGAAATGAAGGGCCTGCGACAACTGAGCCATCTGTGCCTTTAAGCCACTTAGGGGGCACGGGGGGCCTAGTCGTCTTAGGCGCAGCGATTCGCTGTCCAGAGTTGCGTCCCTTGGACACGCCAGACACCTATGATTATGTGTTCGAATCCCGGTTCACCCCGATTATGTTTCTAGGTTTGTCAGCACCATACCCGTGCACATGGGTTTCACCGAAGTGGTAAACGCCTGAGACCTGCATCACTTAGGGCTTTCCTCCCACATTAAGCTGACACGCCGCGATATAACTGGAATACTGTTAAAAGCGGCGTTAGTCAAACTCACTTTAAGCCACACAGAGGCAACAAGTAAAGCATGTCTCACCGTGTTCGCCATTATGTATTGTCCAAGGCCAGGTAGTCGAGAACGTAGATTTGACCCATGTTTCCACCGACTTCACGCTGGGGAAGAGTTGTCCATAGTCTTTAACAGCACCTGTACAGTTGTACATATAGATCTACATGAATACACGCATACATGACATTATTTCAGACTCACTAAAAAACATGCTTGTCGTAAAAGGCGACTATAGTTCTTGTAAGAGGTGATCAGGTGGTCAGGATCGCTGACTTGATTGATGCACGTCATCGATCCCAATTGTGTGGATCGATGCTCGTGGTGTCAATCACTGGATTGTCTTGTCTAGACTCGATTATTTACAGACCAGTGCGGCGTTAAACTACAAACAAACAAAACACTAAAAAACCGTCCAACGTTAGTGAGCGTGTGAGTATGGTTTTACGCCACCTTTAGCAATATTCAAGCAATATCGCGGCGCAGGACACCAGAAATGAGCTTCACACATTGTACCCATGCGGGGAATCGAACCCGGGTCTTCGGCGTGTCGAGCGAACGCTTTAACCACTAGGCTATCCCACCGCCCCTCCAACATCAGCAATATTCCAACTACATCACGATGCCTCTGCTTTAGCAGCCAGAAGAGGACTGAAGTAGCAATGGTCCACTCCGTTGGTGATGGGTGAAATCGGGCTTAACGTCGCGTCCAAGATTATTGCACTTATATAGCGACGTGCATGTACGTGTATGTGTGTGTGTGTGTGTGTGGCTGCTTGTACTAGTCCGGACTGATGCCGATTTATAGAGCTAGCCCACTGAGATACCATGCCGCAGTTTAACATGAATACCCCACTCAGACACAGTATACTGACTCCGAGCCGACCAGTCCTTGTTTTAGCCCCATAATGCCGAGCGCCAGACAGGGTAACAACAAGTACCATCTTTTAACGTCTTTTGGTATGACGCGGCCGGGGACCGAACCCCGAACCTCCGCTCTCCGGGCGGACGCTCTACCACTAGACCACGGAGGCGGTCTCCACTCCATTGGGGAATAATAAAACACAATCAGCCAGGTTACACACGGTCGCACCCCGGCCTGACATTACACCCTAACTACACAGTTATTCACCATGTAAAGGGTTTGAATAAGATGTAAAACTTGGTTTCAAAGTCTACCTATCTAACACATCTGATCTGATTTTACAAAGTATAGGTTTCTTCTGATTGGCCAGGCAATGCGCACCAAACAAGTGTAAGATCAAATAATGCAGGCTATTCATATTCCATTCATATCAGGGCGGGGACACCAAGAACAGGCTCACACATTTACCCCATTTGAGTGATTAAGTTCGGTTTAGGTGTAACGCTGCTTTGAACAGTATTCCAGTTATATCACAGCGTGTCAGCTTAATGTGGAAGGAAAGCTTGAAGTGATGCAGGTCTCAGACGTTTACCACTTCGGTGAAACCCACGAGCACGGGTATGGTGCTGACAAACCTAGAAACATAATCGGGGCGAACCGGGATTCGAACCCACAATCATAGGTTTCAACTGCAAGACGAATTGCGGCGCCTTAGACGACTGGGTCACCCGTTCCCCCTTGGGCCATTTGAGGAACTGAACCCGGATCATCTGCGTGACGAGGCAAGTCTACCCCTTACACCACTCGATACCTATACAACTGACCCGTGAAGATCCCGGGTAGAATAGGTCTTCAGCAACCCATTCTTGCCGTACGAGGTATCATGCTTGTCGTAAGAGGCGACTAACGGGATCGGGTGGTCAGGCTTGCTGACTTGGTTGATGCATGTCATCGTATCCCAATTGCGTGGATCGATGCTCATGATGTCAATCACTGGGTTGTCTGGTCCAGATTCGATTATTTACAGACCGCCGTCATATTGCTGGCATATTGCTGAGTGCGGCGTTAAAGAACAAACAAACAAACAAACAATATCTATACAACGCCTCTTTGATTTGATTTTCGTACATGAGCTGTTTGGTTTGGTGTGGGTCTGCTTCGGGTCTAGCGTTAAGACACAGCTGCCAGTCAGGAAGGAAAGGGCGGCCAACAAGATATACGTCCGTTCAGGAGGTCGGAGCATGTTCGGTAGCCGCATCTGTCAAAAGGAGATCAAGAATATGTTTCGATGCCCTAACACATGTTTACATTTACAAAAATACATGCAAATGTTGTGCAACAAAGTTTATGAATATTTTCTTTCATCGACACTACAGATTTAACTGCACATAAGGGGCATCTTCCATAGTTTAAAGACGATGTTCTCATCGTCGAATGACTCTCTCCAAAAGCAGCCGATACTATTTGTTTCTATGGGCAAAACACGGTTGTGTAACAACGAAATTAACAGCACCTCGTCATGTATTTTGGCTTATTACATAGTGGACTACTCGTTGTATTGTTAGTTTATTGTTTAACGCCGCACTCTGCAACATTCCAGCTATATGACGGCGATCTGTAATAACTGAATCTGGACCAGACAGTCCAGTGATTGATATCATGAGTATCGATCTACGCAATTGTGACACAATGACATGCATCAACCAAGTCAGCGAGTCTGACCACCCGATCCTGTTAGTCGCCTCTTACGACATCATGAGTATCGATCTACGCAATTGGGATACGAGGACATGCATCAACCAAGTCAGCGAGCCTGACCACCCGATCCCGATAGTCGCCTCTTACAACATCATGAGTATCGATCTACGCAATTGGGATACGAGGACAGAATGAAGGCTTGATTCTTTTATGAATTAATAGGTTGTTTTGTTTATTGTTTAACGTCGCACTCAGCACTATTCCAGCCATATGACGGTATTCTGTAGGTTATCAATTCTGGACCAGACAATTGATTGATACTGAGAGCAACGCTCCAAGCCGTCGGGGTACGATGCAATGGCTCCAAATCAACTAAGTCACCAAGTCTGACCTACCGTTCCATTGGGTCACTTTTTACGAATTACATAGGTCCCTGGGACCTATTGTAGCCCGGAATCCCCGGGGGTTCTTTCATGATATAAGACAGTCGGCATGTATTCTTTACAACTTAAAAATAGGTCTTCAGCAACCCATGCTTGCCATAAAAGGCGGCTATGGTTGTCGTAAGAGGCGACTAACGGGATCGGGTGGTCAGGCTCGCTGACTTGATTGATGCATGTCATCGATCCCAATTGCGTGGATCGATGTTATGATATTAATCACTGGATTTTCTGGTCCAGATTCGATTATTTACAGACCGCCGTCATATTGCTGAGTGCGGCGTTAAACAACAAACAAACCAACTAACTTTACAACTTAGTTATTGTTGACAGATCGCTAGCAACACGCCCAGATATAACGATTATAAGTTAACAATTTCAAAGGTTGATCCTTAATTGTGACATATGACAGATGACATGCAATCGGTATACACATTCACGCACGCACGCACGCACGCACACATATATAACATTTATACTGCGAGTTATGGCCGTGTAGCTGCTTAAGGTGTATCAGTAAAAACTGGTATTACTCTACTCGACCGTGAAGAAACCAACCGTTTAATAAATATACAGCTGTATTTAAACATTGTTTATTACCGAAGCGCATGCTTATGTACTGGCAGAACTAGTTTCACTAACAACTATTGAATATATCTCTCAACATCGCTGGGCTTATTCAATGACATTGCGTTAAGAGGTAATAGATCGCCATCGTTGAGAGGAGCTTATGCATACTCGATGACACCAGTAACCTTGTTGCTAGGCTGACGTCACAGGACAAGGTTTTGCCGTGTAAACTGAAACAACATTTTACAAATTAAGTTATTCCGTTGTATGTTATTACATATATATGTGTAAACTTTTAATGTGTTTGAAGTTGTATACTGTTAAACTCAACTTGATTATGCTGTGGATCGCGTCGATGTCTGCTTATTTACACACGACAGTGAAATATTGTATTCATAAGATTGACCTAGTTTCTGACGGGAATTCCAACAGTTCGATTAAATGAGGTTTAAAAAGTTTTAAACTGCAAGTAATAAATAAAATACTAAACTCGTACCCAAGTAAAAAAAAGTGTTTTGAACTTCGTGAATAGTTCTGGTATCTGACGAGGTATTTAGATACCAGAACTGTTCACTCGTTTCATAAGATTGGTATTCCACGGGAGCGAGTTCAGTATTCTATATTTATAATATACCCGTATGAATACATTTACGTCAGCGATGAAAAAAGACTGAATGCGAGAAGTCGTTTGAATAGTCAAAACCCCATTATAATGATACACTATGAGATTAATGATTATTCATTGTCTAAAACAATATACATAAACATTACTGATTACGAAAGAAATTGAGTAGGAGGCTGCTGTATTAAAATAGTTTAATATAACTTCCTCAATTACATCAGCGCGTCAATGGCGGCCATACGCTCCACAGGAATCACAGGTGTGTGGATATGGAGTGTCAACAGACAAACACGAGAGTTAAACATGTCACACAATCGAGACCGAGTGTCAAAGAATGAAATAAAACAACTGTACCTTATTTTCGGCTTACTCTCTCTGCAAGTGATTGTAGTCGAGAATAACTATCCGCTGGTGACGTCTGCTCGCGATTGAGTTAATGTTCACACAAATTGTATATTGACAGCTTTAGCATCACGTGACCGGTGTCTAGGAGGAGTCATTTACAGTGAGTGGGTTAAACTTAACGTCGCATCGGTATTATTTCAGCCATATGGCGACTAGAGTCATTTATAACAAAGCCCTGTTCCACAGAGTGGTCTCAGCGCCACGATGACCGTAAGCCAGTGTTAAAACATGGGAGTTACGATCACCTTAGCGCTAAGAACGCTTTGTCGAACGGGGCCTAGGTGGCTGAACCGACCAGGACGAGAGAATGAGTGAGTGAGTATGGTTTTACCCCGCTTTTAGTCATATTCCACTAATATCAGGGCGGGGGACACCAGAAATGGGCTTCACACATTGTACCAATGTCGGGACTCGAACCCGGGTCTTCGGCGTGACGAGCGAACGCTTTAACCACAAGGCTACCCAACCGCCCCTCCGGCCAGGACAAAACAAACCTGCTTAGTGCCCAACCATGAGACTAAAGGTCATTATGGGTGAAACATCCCATTTTGACTTTTCATGTTTTAAAACTACAGCATCTTCGTAACACAAAAATTGAATTCACAAGCTTCAATTCATTATGTATTACAGAGAAACAAGACCATCTTTCCGAGACAAGGGCGTCACCTGACTATAAAAGTCTACTGGGCGGTTATTATAGGGTAACGCTCTTTTTCAGGGCCTTACCATTTGCAGAAGCCCGAGGTCTTCCATTTACTGCCCGATAAAGGAGGGCAGTTGAAAAGACCGAGGGCTTCTGCAAATGATAATGCCCTGAAAAATAGCGTTACCGTTACTATAGCTAAAACGGATGGAATTTGTTATCAAATAAAAATAAACAACTATTAAACGTGACGTCAATATCCCTACCATATGACGTCACCTAACACCGGGCGTGATAATGGCCCGTCGTCAAGCAATATGAGGGTATTATCAAGTTACAGTGGCCCGCCGATTTCTGATAACATGCGGGCGGTTTAATGATAATTCTATCCAGCTATAAAGTCAGTAAACGCCCTTGCCTCGGAAAGATGAAACAAGACATGACACATATCAATCTTCACTGCAGTAAGTTGACGTCAAACGTCATTGTGACGTCATAGCACAATGCTATAATATTTTGTCTTGTCGCTACAATATGGAGGTACGGTTACCGCATCTAACATCTAGTGAGAGAAGCCCCACGATGCAATACTGAATTTAAGGTAACATTGTCATGTTTGTTTGTTTGTTTGTTTATTGTTTAACACCACACTCAGCAATATTCCAGCTATATGACGGCGGTCTGTAAATAATCGAGTCTGGACCAGAGAGTCCAGTGATTGACATCATGAGCATCGATCAACTATTGGGATACAAGGACATGCATCAACCAAGTCAGCGAGCCTGACCACCCGATCCCGTTAGTCGCCTTTTACGACAAGCATGGGTTGCTGAAGACCTATTCTACCCCGGATCTTCACGGGTGTGGCTGCTTGTAATAGTCCGGACTAATGCCGATTCTATAGTGCTAGCCCACTGAGATACCATGTTGCAGTTTAACATAGATACACCCATCTTCCCGAGGCAAGAGCGTTAACTGACTTTAAAAGTCAAGTTTCCACCCTTGCCGAACTAGGCTGGAATTCCTGGGCTCGATCGTAGCGCCACCAGTGGCTATTGCGAGTTATGTCCTTTCTATGCCTCTCCTACTGACCAATCAGATTCAACCTCTCGTATCACTTGCATTTACTTCAAACAAAACGGTGGCGACCAGTCAAGACGATCTGATCGATAATCAAGATATTGTGATAAAACGAGTCTTACATCGCTAAGTGCATCAAATCACGTGAGCACCTTGATTAAAAACATGAAAAGATTTAGAAAATATCTGTTGACAACGAGTTAGCGGTGCACATGTTTTGCAAATGCTGCAGTCGACCGAAATCTGCATGACACTTAACGAACCGGATTTCGATTTCGGTGCGCGATTTTGATTGGACTATGCATAGACTCGTTAGTCCAGGCAAAATGTAACTCCATAATACCAGCCTAGTTCAGCAAGGGTGGAAACTGGACTTTTATAGTCAGTTAACTCACTTGCCTCGGAAAGATGAGATACACCACTCAAACACAGTATGCTGACTCCAAGCCGATCAGTCCTTGTTTTAGCACCAGTGTCAGAAAGGGTAACAACAATTAACATATTTTAACGTCTTTTGATATGAAGTGGCCGGGGATCGAACTCCCGACCTTCCGTTCTCCAGGCAGACGTTCTACCACTAGAAGTGGGTCAGTAAACTGTCAGTTCGTGGCAGATAACCTACAGTTAAAATAGAGTACCATAGCTGTAAATTACGCTGAAACTACTTTCAGTCTGCCTCAGTGATACCTCTCTTCTGACATGCTGACATGCTAAATTATCATGTGATCAAGTCTATATTTAGCCAAGCGTAACCGTTGGTTGATATGATTCACCGGATAGCCTCGTAGCCAAAACGTGAACCGTAACTATCGCTTTGGTTTTAGGCTAGGGTGGAGGGAAAGCAGACGACTCTTTTTAATTTAAGGTGGAAATCAAAAGGAGAAAAGGAAAACGAAGATGTTGATGGTAAAGACACAATTAGTGATGACAAAATGTCCAATGAGAAGAGTTCGACGTATGGCAAAGCTAAAACGAAGTCAAGAACGAGAAAGTTCCCGAGTGACTTGTTGAACGAATTCCAATGGCTGTGACACGTGTGTGATGCAAGTTAGGATCACCCCATCAGTGGCGACGGGTCTTGTGAAGGCCTGCGTAAAATCAGGGAGACTTACGGAGAGTGAGTGAGTTGGGTTTAACGCCTCTTTAAACAGTATTCCAGTTATATCACGGCATGTCAGCTTAATATGGGAGGAACGCCGAAGTGATGCAGGTCTCAGACGTTTACCACTTCGGTAAAACCCACGAGCACGGGTATGGTGCTGACAAACCTAGAAACATAATTGGGGCGAACCGGGATTCGAACCCACAATCATAGGTTTCTGGCGTGCCCAAGGGACGCAATTCTGCACAGTGAATCGCAGCGCCTTAGACGACTGGGCCACCCGTGCCCCCAGACTTACGGAGAACTTAATAATATTAAGGCGTGAATCGTAGCAATGTATTGCAGCGACCAGTGGGTGTCCGATACTTTCAGCAGGGAAGTACAAAGCTACAATTTCGACCAGAGCCAGCACCCAGCATTCTCGACCACCCAGTGTATTGTCTAATTCTGGATGATTCACTGTCATATATTTGTCCACCAGCACATGCTTTGTTTATTTAACGCTGCACTCCAGCAATAATCCAGCAATATGACAGCGGTCTGTACATAACCAAGTCTACACCAGACAATCCAGTGATTGACATCATAAGCTTGATCAACACAATTGGGATACGATGACATGCATCAAACAAGTCAGAGAGCCTGACCATCCGATCCGTTAGTCGACTTTCCTGACAGCCTTTTACGGCAAGCAAGGGTTACTGAAGACCTAACCCCGGATCTTCATGGTCGAGCAAGAGTGCTGACAAAGCCTGAATTACAGTCAAGGTGAGGTGAGGTGAAATTGGGTTTAACGTCGCGTCCAAGATTATTGCACTTATATAGCGACGTGCATGTACGTTTGTGTGTTTGTGTGGCTGCTTGTACTAGTGCGGACTGATGCCGATTTATAGTGCTAGCTCACTGAGATATCATGCCGCAGTTTAACATGAATACCCCACTCAGACACAGTATACTGACTCCGAGCCGACCAGTCCTTGTTTTAGCCCCTTAATGCCGAGCGCCAGACAGGGTAACAACAAGTACCATCTTTTAACGTCTTTTGGTATGACGCGGCCGGGGATCGAAACCCAGACCTTTCGCTCTCCGGGAGGACGCTCTACCACTAGACCACGGAGGCGGTCTACAGTCAAGGAGAATCAGGGATCCAAACCTTTGATCACAGTAATAGAAGATGCCTAAGGGATGCAGCTCTGCACATAGAATTTGTCTAGTACAAAATGCCTATGACTGGGACACCCAGCTTCTCGTATACCTAATCTGTTAAGTTGTTCTCCTGTTAAATAGTCAGGAAAGTTTACAAACGGGACAAGACATAAATTGGACAAAGTTTGTTTACTCAAATATACACAATATATTCAGCATTCTTACAACATGCAAAACATCCTTCAGGTTGAACACACCACCCATATGATCTTCATAGTAAACCTTGCATACATAAAACACAGGTTCTAGGGGCTTCAGAGAAAATGTTGAACAACACTCAAACATGCCTCAGCTTCACTATCAAACAAATCAGAAGGAGCTAAAACCATTTTGAAAAGTATTCCAATTATGCCATGTTAGCTTTACGTGGGAGGAAAGCCTAAAGTGATACAGGTTTTAATACATTGACACTGTGTTGAAAACCACGGTCATGGTAGGAACAAATCAAGCATCACAATCGGCAAATCTGGAATTTAAACATATGATCATAGGATTCTGGCACATCTAAGGGAGGTAACTCTCCACAGCGGATGGTGTCGTCTCAGATGATAAAAGGATAGCTTATGAATTTCCCCATTGATTGATCATCCTCTTCATAAGCTCAGTAGTTTGTTCTATGATATGATGATGATGAAGATGAGTATGGTTTTACGCCGCTTTTAGCAATCTTCAAGCAATATCACGGCGACACACAAAGATAAGAAGATTTATCTTTGCTAAACAATACAATTCATGTAAAAGGATAGATCCTTTTAAGCATCCCTTGGATGCAATCTGGTCATTATCTGCCTCCAAACCTGCATCTGTATGTACTGGATGCACATTCATGTATCATGCATTAAAAATGTCAAATTCTGTCTTAATCAAAACATTCTATCTGCTGTACAAAAAATAGCAACCATTTAAAGTAGCAAACACTGTGAAATGTATTTAGCTTTGCAAAAGTTTCTTAAACAAAATGATTTAACAATTTCTGATGTGATTGCTTGTCAAAGGTAACAAAGGTTTTTCATGGAGGAAGTACACTGCCACGGGTCCATGGGGAGATAAATCTCATTAAAATCAGATCTCTTTCTCTGATGTGATACCTCTCTGATTGCAGATCTGAGTGAGAGTGTGGGTGACTGACCTGTGTTTAACGCCGCTTTTAACAGAATTCAAGTTATATCATGGCATGTCAGCTTAATGTGGATACCCCAAAGTGAGGTCTCAGATGTTTACACCTCGGTGAAACCCACAAGCATGGGTATGGTGCTGACCAACCTAGGAGCATAATCGGGACGAACTGGGACTTGGCATGCTCATCAGAGGACATATCCATAGGTCAGCTGAACCCATCTTCCCGAGGCAAGAGAGTTAACTGACTATAAAAGTCCAGTTTCCACCCTTGCCGAACTAGGCTGGTATTATGGAGTTACATTTTGGCTGGACTAACGAGTCTATGTATAGTCCAATCAAAATCGCGCACCGAAATCCAAATCCGGTTCGTAAACTGTCGTGCAGATTTCGATCGACTGCACTATTTGCAAAGCATGTGCACTGCTAACTCGTTGTCAACAAATATTATTCCAAATCTTTTCATGTTTTTAATCAAGGTGCTCACGTGATTTGATGCATTTCGCGATGTAAGACCCGTTTTATCACAATATAGATCTTGATTATCGATCAGATCGTCTTGACTGGGCGCCACCATTTTGTGTGAAGCAAATGCAAGTGATACGAGAGTTGGAATCTGATTGGTCCATAGGAGAGGCTTAGAAGAGACATATATAACTGGTAATAGCCACTGGTGGCGCTACGATCAAGCCCATTAATTCCAGCCTAGTTCGGCAAGGGTGGAAACTGGACTTTTAAAGTCAGTTAACTCCCTTGCCTCGGGAAGATGGCTGAGCCCAGAGTGAACATTGACCATCCAGTCTAGAAGGAAGTGTGGGTTCCTCAGCCATGTTTTGTCAGTTTTCTAAAACGATTCAGTTTCGTTTCTGTAATGCCTTAAATCAGCATGTTCCATCTGAGGAAAAGAAAAGTCTCAAAACAATGCCACCCTCGATAGTAGATGGGTGTAGATGCCATGGTGCTCTATAACTACAAGGTGCATAAAATATCCCCAACAATATAACAGCATAGCTTTACCTTTTTGCATTTGGAGCTACCCAATTATATTTGTTTTTGTGATACAGACATCAGGTATGGTTGTCTGAATGCTTTGGTCACTCATAATGATAATTTAGAAGCCTTCACCCTGGTAGGAAAGTTCACCTGATGCAACCTCCCATCGGGGTGTTTTCAGATCTTTATGCGGGGCGGTGGGGTAGCTGAGTGGTTAAAGCTTTGGCACATCATGCCAAAGACCTGGGTTCAATTTCCCACATGGGTACAATGTGTGAAGCCCATTTCTGGTGTCCCCTGCTGTGATATCGCTGGAATACTGCTAAAAGCATCATAAAAACACACTCACTCACTCATCAATGCAGAGTGGAATCCCACTGGAGTACAAATCTGACTTTAATGATATTGTGTGGAGCCAACAACACATGCACAGCCTCCACAATCAGCTAAAGGGAGACAACTTACCACATTATGCTACAAAGACAGAACAAACCGTTGTCTTGCAAAAACATATTTACAATGTTCATATTAACAGAAAATATGTTAATCTACATATGAAGTCAGGATGCTTTCATGATACACAACAATGGTGAACAACATATCCAATGACTGACCACATTTTCATATTTGATTTTACTGGCACAGGAAAGTTTGTCACATAACGCTTGTAGACTGCCCCATCATCAGCTGATGCCAATCGTGACACTTTCTTCCCTGTTTGAAGTCAGCTCTTGGCAGGTCACATGGAGGGTACCCTCTCTGAAATGACAGATTGAACGTAGAAGTAGGGGATATGAACTGACTCAATCTCATTAAAATCAAATATTAGTTCATGTTACCGCTGAGTGAGTGAGTGAGTGAGTTGGGTATAACGCCGCTTTTAATGGTATTCCAGTTATATCATGGCGGGTCCGCTTAATTTTGGAGAAAAGCCCGAAGTGATGCAGGTCTCAGTGAGTGAGTGAGTGAGTTGGGTTTAACACCGCTTTTAACAGTATTCCAGTTATATCGTGGCATGTCAGCTTAATGTGGGAGGAAAGCCCGAAGTGATGCAGGTCTCAGACGTTTACCAACAAACCGACAAACCTAGAACCGGGATTTGAACCCACAATCATAGGTTCTGATTTTCTGATTTTCTGGCGCGTCCAAGGGACGCAACCCTGCACAGCGAATCGCGGCGCCTCAGACGACTGGGCCACCCATACCGCTGAACAAAGATCTGAGGGCATCCATTACGGGTCACATCAGAATGATCACTCGCAAAGTTTGACTTAGAGCTAAACAAAACAATGTTCACAGGAATTAGAGCCTACCTTCTTAGATGGAAGTTTGCCTGTATACTGCTTGGCGTAGGAAGGTCTCGCATCACTATCTGTGAGTGAAATAATCAGACATCATGAAACATACCCCAAATTCAATCAATCACCTCAATGACTGGAAATGACCACCTAGGAATTTGTATGCTTGTTTATGTAGGGAGGCTGTTTATTTGGTTACATACTAGTTCGAACAATGTTTCTATGTTTTCAAAAGTTTTTGCCTGAGAACCAATTCTTTTATTTTTTAAGCCTTGAATAACTCACCCTGGCTAGTAGGGACGAGTTTTGTAGTGTGGGCGGGTCACTGGCCTCGTAGACCTCCATGCTGAAGTTGTCCTGGGCGTCAGCAAGTGTGAAAGTGTGCTGCTTCCTGGAAGGGATGAGGCTAAGCTTCGGCAGCGCTGTGATCAGGTTGTCCGTCTCGGGATCATCGGATACCTGCAGCATCAACAAACAACAAATGACATCCCTTCACACAGGCACCAAACACACCTTCACAAAGACACACCTTCACACAGAGACACTAACACACGTTCACAGACACAGCCAACACACCTTCACACAGACACCACAACACACCTTCACAGAGACACCCCAACACACCTTAACAGAGACACCACAACACACCTTCACACAGACACCCCAACACACCTTCACACAGACACCACAACACACCTTCACACAGACACCCAAACACACCTTCACAGAGACACCCCAACACACCTTCACACAGACACCCCAACACACCTTCACACAGACACCCCAACACACCTTCACAGAGACACCCCAACACACCTTCACAGAGACACCCCAACACACCTTTACAGAGACACTCTAACACAGCTTCACACAGACACCCCAACACACCTTCACACAGACACCCCAACACACCTTCACACAGACACCCCAACACACCTTCACACAGACACCCCAACACACCTTCAAACAGACACCCCAACACAACTTCACAGAGACACCCCAACACACCTTCACAGAGACACCCCAACACACCTTCACACAGACACCCCAACACACCTTAACAGAGACACCCCAACACACCTTCACACAGACACCCCAACACACCTTCACACAGACACCCCAACACACCTTCACAGAGACACCCCAACACACCTTCACACAGACACCCCAACACACCTTCACACAGACACAAAACACACCTTCACAGAGACACCCCAACACACCTTCACACAGACACATCTTCACACAGACACCCAACACACCTTCACACAGTCACACCTTCACACAGACACCCAACACACCTTCACAGAGACACACCCAACACACCTTCACACAGACACCACAACACACCTTCACACAGACACCACAACACACCTTCACACAGACACCACAACACACCTTCACACAGACACCCCAACACACCTTCACACAGACACCACAACACACCTTCACACAGACACACCCAACACACCTTCACACAGACACCACAACACACCTTCACACAGACACCCCAACACACCTTCACACAGACACACCCAACACACCTTCACACAGACACCACAACACACCTTCACACAGACACCACAACACACCTTCACAGAGACACCCCAACACACCTTCACACAGACACCCCAACACACCTTCACACAGACACCCCAACACACCTTCACAGAGACACCCCAACACACCTTCACACAGACACCCCAACACACCTTCACACAGACACCACAACACACCTTCACAGAGACACCACAACACACCTTCACACAGACACCCCAACACACCTTCACACAGACACCACAACACACCTTCACAGAGACACCCCAACACACCTTCACAGAGACACCCCAACACACCTTCACAGAGACACCCCAACACACCTTCACAGAGACACCCCAACACACCTTTACAGAGACACCCCAACACACCTTCACACAGACACCCCAACACACCTTCACACAGACACCCCAACACACCTTCAAAGAGACACCCCAACACACCTTCACACAGACACCTCAACACACCTTCACACAGACACCACAACACACCTTCACACAGACACCCCAACACACCTTCAAACAGACACCCCAACACACCTTCACAGAGACACCCCAACACACCTTCACAGAGACACCCCAACACACCTTCACACAGACACCCCAACACACCTTCACAGAGACACCCCAACACACCTTCACACAGACACCCCAACACACCTTCACAGAGACACCCCAACACACCTTCACACAGACACCCTAACACACACCTTCACACAGACACAAAACACACCTTCACAGAGACACCCCAACACACCTTCACACAGACACATCTTCACACAGACACCCAACACACCTTCACACAGTCACACCTTCACACAGACACCCAACACACCTTCACAGAGACACCCCAACACACCTTCACACAGACACCCCAACACACCTTCACACAGACACCCCAACACACCTTCACACAGACACCCCAACACACCTTCACAGAGACACCCCAACACACCTTCACACAGACACCCCAACACACCTTCACACAGACACCCAACACACCTTCACACAGACACCCCAACACACCTTCACACACTTTCACATAGACACCCCAACACAATTTCACAGAGACACCCAAACACACTTTCACACAGACACTAACAACACACCTTCACACAGACACCCCAGCACACTTTCACACAGACACCCCAGCACACTTTCACACAGACACCCAACACACCTTCACACAGACACCCAACACACTTTCAGAGAGACACCCCAACACACCTTCACACAGACACCCCAACACACCTTCACAAAGACACCCCAACACACCTTCACACAGACACCCAAACACACTTTCACACAGACACCCTAACACACTTTCACAGAGACACCCCAACACACCTTCACAGAGACACCCCAACACACCTTCACACAGACACCCCAACACACCTTCACACAGACACAAAACACACCTTCACACAGACACACCCAACACACCTTCACACAGGCACGCAACACACCTTCACACAGACACCAGCAACACACCTTCACACAGACCCTCCAATACACCTTCATACAGACACCCCAACACACCTTCACAGAAACCCCCAACACACCTTCACACAGACATCCCAACACACCTTCACACAGAGACCCCCAACACACCTTCACAGAAACCACCAACACACCTTCACAGAAACCCCCAACACACCTTCACAGAAACCCTCAACACACCTTCACACAGACACCCAACACACCTTCACACAGACACACCTTCACAGAGACACCCAACACACCTTCACACAGACACACCTTCACACAGACACACCTTCACACAGACACCCAACACACCTTCACACAGACACCCAACACACCTTCACACAGACACCCCAACACACCTTCACAGAGCCACCCCAACACACCTTCACACAGACACCCCAACACACCTTCACACAGACACAAAACACACCTTCACACAGACACACCCAACACACCTTCACACAGGCATGCAACACACCTTCACACAGACACCAGCAACACACCTTCACACAGACCCTCCAATACACCTTCACATTGACACCCCAACACACCTTCACAGAAACCCCGAACACACCTTCACACAGACATCCCAACACACCTTCACACAGAGACCCCCAACACACCTTCACAGAAACCCCCAACACACCTTCACAGAAACCCTCAACACACCTTCACACAGACACCCAACACACCTTCACACAGACACACCTTCACAGAGACACCCAACACACCTTCACACAGACACATCTTCACACAGACACCCAACACACCTTCACACAGACACCCAACACACCTTCACACAGACACCCAACACACCTTCACACAGACACCACAACACACCTTCACACAGACACCCAACACACCTTCACACAGTCACACCTTCACACAGACACCCAACACACCTTCACACAGTCACACCTTCACACAGACACCCAACACACCTTCACACAGACACCACAACACACCTTCACACAGACACCACAACACACCTTCACACAGACACCCAACACACCTTCACACAGTCACACCTTCACACAGACACCCAACACACCTTCACACAGACATCCAACACACCTTCACACAGACACCCCAACACACCTTCACACAGACACCCAACACACCTTCACACAGACATCCAACACACCTTCACACAGACACCCAACACACCTTCACACAGACACCCAACACACCTTCACACAGAAACCCAACACACCTTCACACAGTCACACCTTCACACAGACACACCTTCACACAGACACCCAACACACCTTCACCCAACACACCTTCACCCAGACACACCTTCACACAGACACCCAACACACCTTCACACAGACACCCAACACACCTTCACCCAACACACCTTCACCCAGACACACCTTCACACAGACACCCAACACACCTTCACACAGACACACCTTCACACAGACACCCAACACACAGACACCCCAACACACCTTCACACAGACACACCTTCACACAGACACCCAACACACCTTCACACAGACACCCAACACACCTTCACCCAGACACACCTTCACACAGACACCCAACACACCTTCACACAGACACCCAACACACCTTCACACAGACACCCAACACACCTTCACACAGACACACCTTCACACAGACACACAACACACCTTCACACACAGACCTTCACACAGACACCCAACACACCTTCACACAGACACACCTTCACACAGACACACCTTCACACAGACACCCAACACACCTTCACACAGACACACCTTCACACAGACACACCTTCACACAGACACACCTTCACACAGACACCCAACACACCTTCACACAGACACCCAACACACCTTCACACAGACACACCTTCACACAGACACACAACACACCTTCACACAGACACACCTTCACACAGACACCCAACACACCTTCACACAGACACACCTTCACGCAGACACACCTTCACACAGACACCCAACACACCTTCACACAGACACACCTTCACACAGACACACCTTCACACAGACACACCTTCACACAGACACCCAACACACCTTCACACAGACACACCTTCACACAGACACACCCAACACACCTTCACACAGACACAGCTGGAGAGGCACCTGGCCTGGGTGTGCTCTTCATGATCTTTCAAATCTTCGATCTCCTTCCCAACAAGGAATGCTGCCTGCAATACAAAAATATAGAATAAACAATATAGAGAACTTGAAATCACTAAATATCTATTTATAAAAGGTGTTAGTGTGTACATTTTCAATGTGCATAGTTCACAATTTACCACATAGCAATGTCTAGGGAAAAAAGTATAATTAATAGTATTAAACTTTCTTAGATATTTGACCACATATTGAAACAACATTGACCATTTTTTCACAAATTGATAAAGAAAATTCTAAAACATGTAGTAACACCCAATTGATAACACTGTCAATACCACCTGGAAATAAACGCAACTATGTTGATGGAAACACACAATCACTAATAGCATGGCTCAATCTACTTTGAAATATCCCAGTAGGTTGTAGATAAATCTGACCTCTTTAGCTGCTCCCATGGCAATGACCTCATCTGGAGATATGGAGGTCAGAATCTCTGCTCCTTTGACAGTGTCAGCCACGGACTTCTGCACAATCGGCACCTTGGCCCCGCCCCCACACAGAATCACCTGGAAGGAGAGGTCAGTTGCCGTGGTAACATATCTACCTAATAGCTGACTGGTCTCACGTCACATTGGCAACAACATAACTTTGATTTCTAAGGCTCTATTAAAATATGTCAACGAAGACAGCCACATAACAAAAGCTAAACTACTCCAAGTGTTCATATTCAAATATTTCCTGCATAAATAATGAAGAAAAACTGACACTAAATTATTTTTTAAATTTTAAGAAAATATACTTTTCAACATTGGCTTAGGAGTGAGTGAGTGAGTGAGTGAGTTGGGTTTAACGCCGCTTTTAACAGTATTCCAGTTATATCACGGCGTGTCAGCTTAACATGGGAGGAAAGCCCGAAGTGATGTAGGTCTCAGACCTTTACCACTTCGGTGAAACCCACGAGCACGGGTATGGTGCTGACAAACCTAGAAACTAAATCGGGGCGAACTGGGATTCGAACCCACAATCATAGGTTTCTGGCGTGCCCAAGGGACGCAACTCTGCACAGCGAATTGCGGCGCCTTAGACGACTGGGCCAACCGTGCCCCCCATTTGCTAAGGACCACACACATGGAGATAACTATTTTGGTTCTAAGCAAATGCTGAGTAGTATATGAAGTCATCATATGAAGAAACATAAGTGCCAGAGCACAGCTCCATTTGTCTGGCAGCTTCATATAACAGAGCCAAAAATGCATATTGAGAGAAATTAAGAGCATGGTAAAAAAAAGATCAAAATTTCAAAAACTGAAACAAAAGTGCTTAATCTCACAAGAAACTATATAAATACCAAATTTCATTGCATTTTTGAAACAAAACGGCATTAAAAGGTTTCTGCTTTCACTATGGTCGAAATGCAAAGAGGTGAAATCAAGGTCAAAATTTATAATATTGCACAAAAAAACAACAAAACACATATTTAGTCCCACTACTTATTAAACAAATCGGATTTGAACACAAATTCAGGTGTGATCACCTGTTCTTAGAAGAAATGCTTACCCAATCAGACGTGGCAAGTGGACAAGGGGAGATTACGACATCAGACATGGGAACTGGATAAGGGGAGATAACTGCATCAGACATGGCAAGTCAAGCTCCTCGCAGTGATAGCCCATTCGCAGAGCTCTCTATACTATCGCTGTCACCAGTCAAAACTCCCCACTAGCAACAGATGGACCGTTATGTTTACAAACAAGTGACGGCTGTTGCGACGCCGAATACACTAACCCCTGCTAAATTACTGTTCTTTGCTTGTCAATTTGGATTTCTATTTCCTTAAAACTATCATGTAATTGATATAGTTAGAATGTAAGGGAGACATTGGTTGATTTTCTGTTTGTATAATCAGATTGGTTCGAGATTGCAAGTAAATTCATCTGGAAAACATGGTCAAACTTTTTCAAAATGAAATATAATGGCATTCCCAAAGACATAAAAAAAAAGTATAAACGTTACTACATTTGCGGTTAGTGGGCAAATTTCAAGATTCTTGTAATGGCCCCACCCACACTGGTGGCAGCGATGTTACCGAGAGTGTAACGAAGGTGTCACACGCTGGGAAGGAGCTTGATGGCAAGTCGACAAGGGGAGATAACTACATCAGACATGGCAACTCAAGCTCATTCCCAGCGCGTGACACCTTGAATCTTGAAATTTGCCCTCTAACCCCAAATATAGTAACGTTTATACTTTTGTTTCTGTCTTTGGGAATGCCATCATATTTCAATTTGAAAAGGTTTGCGACTGACCATGTTTTCCAGATGAATTTACTTTGTTGTTTTAATAATCAGATTGGTTCGAGATTGCAGACTAATTGAAAATCAACCAACTTCTCCCTTACATTCTTACTATATCAATAACACAATAGTTTTAATGAAACAGAAATTCAAATTGACAAACGAAGAAAGTAATTAAGCGGCGTCACTTGTTTGTAAACATTACGGTCATTCGGTTGCTAGTTCAACTCCAAGCATGGTTGTGGCCACCTATTCACAGTGGGGAGTTTTGACTGGTGGCAGCGATAGTATAGAGAGCTCCGGGAACGTACTATCCGTGTGAGGAGCTTGATGGCAACTGGACAAGGGGAGATAACCACATCAGACATGGCAACTGGATAAGGGGAGATAACTACATCAGACTAGGCAACTGGACAAGAGGAGATAACTACATCAGACAAGGCAACTGGACAAGGGGAGATAACTACATCAGACAAGGCAACTGGACAAGGGGAGATAACTACATCAGACAAGGCAACTGGACAAGGGGAGATAACTACATCAGACATGGCAACTGGATAAGGGGATATAACTACATCAGACAAGGCAACTGGACAAAGGGAGTGACCACATCAGACATGGCAACTGGACACGGGGAGATAACTACAACGGGTTAACAAGTTCTCCAAGCATGATGGAGTAAACTGACCATGTCAGTGTTGCAAATGGACGTACTTTACTGATGTCTGTCTTGTTGAGCCCTGCCTCAGCGAGGCACTTCTCTATGAGGCCACTGCCCTGCTGCAAGAGACTGGTGCACAGACTCTCAAACCGGGCCCTGGAACACAAGTATAACATGAGGGCAACACAGGCAAAACAAATGTTTAAATCTTACAGAGTGACCATTGTTTAAGGCAGCAGGTGAGATAAAATAGGGTTAAATGTCGCGTCCAAGATTATTGCAGTTACAAGCGACGTGCATGCACGTGTGTGTGTGTGTCTGCTTGTACTAGTCCGGTCTGATTCCGATTCAATAGTGCTAGTCTACTGAGATACCATGCCGCAGTTTAACATGAATAGCCCACTCAGACAGTATACTGACTCCGTGCTGTCCAGTCCTAGTTTTAGCCCCTCATTGCCAAGCACCAGGCAGGGTAACAACAAGTACCATCTTTTGAAGTCTTTTGGTATGATGCGGCCGGGGAAGGAACTCCCGACCACCACACAGCCCTTGTGTATATCTGGTTCCTTATTTCAAAACAATCTTAGTAAAATCTAAATATTTTTTACATTTGTATACTTATCCTGCATTACTCCGTATTGCATTTACTGCTGTCTTTGACAGAGAGACGAACTGTGTGAGATCCAGCTGCTGAAGAAAGTTGTTTCCATCTGTCCAGGAAGCAGCGCCCCCTCCCACACAGTCGGCACGTGACCCGGAAGACATGACGTCATGTCAAAACTCATAACTGCTTTAACATAACATCGGAAACTTCGTGGGGAGGAAGCGGAGCGCAGGGGGGGCACTTAGACTTCGTAATGCAGGATAAGTACACAAATGTAAAAAATATTTAGATTTTACTAAATTTTTTAACTTATCCTGCATTACTCCGTATTGCATCTTTATCAGACGGCACGGCCGGTGGGCATACCTTCAGATGTGAGCCAGAAGAAAACCCTCGACAAAGGTCCGATGAAATCGCACCGCATGGACAAGCGATGACCGGAACACCAGCGACCATTCCTGTGAAAGGAAACGAGAGTCGATGCAAAAGAGGGAACCCGAAATAGGTGACAGAAATAGTATGAGGCGGGAATGCCAAAACTAGCACTGACCTAAGAGCGAATGCGGAACGCAGTAGAGCCCTCTAATCTGTGGTGATAAACACCAGAGAGGTCGACGGGCCCCGCTCAGGGTAACGGAGAATCAGTGGCGTCGGGGGTTGGTGACCTGTTGAGCTACCACCAGGGGACCAAAGCTATGAACGCCAGCGACATCTTCCAAGGCTACATCACGGAGGTAGTGGTTGGCGAAAACGGTGTCGGAACGCCAAAAACAGCCTTCCATGATAGATTTGAGGGAACAGTTACTGTGCAGAGCCATGGTAGACGCGACCGCCCGAATCTCGTGGGGGTTGTTAGCCTTGGGGGGGTCCAATCCGGCGACTTTATAAGATTGGAGGATGACCGCCCGGAGCCACAGGGAGATAGTATTCCGGCTGACCTCCGACAGCGACGAAGGGGAGACCGGTAGGAAAAGGCGTTTCCTAGACTTACGGCAGGCTTTAGACCGTCGCAGGAAAACCTTCAGGGCCCTAACTGGGCATAATAAGAGCTCCTCCACGTCGTCGGCACCCACAATCGACGAAAGTGGAGGGATGGTGAAGGATCTATCAGGCTGTCCGGGGAGTTGATTCTTTGCGATGAAGTCCCAGCACAGCCCAAGATGAACTGCTCCATGAGTCCCGCGTTCGAACCTGACCCGAGAGACGTCGAGGGCGTGGAGCTCACTAACCCGGGCGGCAGTAGCCAAGGCCAGTAGAAACACAGTCTTCTTCGTTAAGTCGTAAAAGGAAGACGTGTGGAGTGGTTCGAAGGGAGCCTCCCGAAGAGCCTTTAAGACCACATTCAGATCCCACGCAGGCGGTCTGAACTTGGCTTTCTGGTCGTCGAGACGAAACGAGCGCAGCATAGCCTGGAGTTCGGGAATTTTCGTCATTCTCCGGTCGTCCGGAATGGCAAGGACGGAGTTAATGGCGACCAGGTACGTGGAGATGGTAGAGCCTTTTAATCGACGCGTGCTGCGCAAGTACAGAAGAAACTCAGCCAGGAACTGCGGGGATGCCGTCATCGGATCCTGATGCTTGTCAGAGCAGAACGCCTGGAACGAGGACCATTTATCATCATATAGTCCCCGTGTAGATGGACGATGGGCGAAAGCAATAGCCTTGGCTGCTCTAGTCGAATAGCCCTTGGCTCCTAGGGCTTTTTGCAGATGTGCCAGGCGTGCAGATGAAACCGAGCGGGACTTGGGTGGGGCAACCGACTGTGTGGGTGAAGCAGAAGGTTGGACCACGCTGGCAGTTCTAGAGGGTTGTCTCTGGCGACGTTTCGGAGGTCGACAAACCAACTTCTGGCCGGCCACCAAGGCGCGACCAAAATCAGTGTCAAGTGTCGAGTGGCCTGGATCTTTTGAAGAACCCTGGGAAGGAGAACCGGAGGCGGAAAAGCGTACGCGCTTAATCCCTCCCAGGGAACACTGAAGGCGTCGACTGCTACAGCGGCCGGATCCGGGACCGGCGAGATGTAAGTCGGCAGATGGCAGTTCTGAGACGTGGCGAACAGATCGATGTTTGGAGAGGCGATCGTTTGACAAAGGACTGTGAAGATCTCTGGGTGGAGTCGCCATTCGGTGGGAGCCACCTTGTCCGGCCTTGACAGAGCGTCTGCCAGAACATTCCGGCAACCTGGAATGTGCTGAACAAGGAATTGCAAGTCTAAACGGTCCACCAGGTCGAAAAATCGGAAGGTCTGGTTGAGCAGGGACTGAGAGTGGAGAGTACCCTGATTCCTCAGACACCACACCATGGTGATGTTGTCCGTGGAGATGGCCAACTGGCCGTGCCGGAGAATGCTCTGCCAGTGGGAGACGGCCAGTATGAGAGCTTCGAGTTCGAGGTTGTTGCTGTGCCAGAAGAGCCGATCTCCTGACCACAGCCCTGCAACTGTTTGAGTCCCCAGATGAGCCCCCCAACCCTGTTTGGATGCGTCGACGAACAGGTGGAGGGAGGGCTGTAGCGCGGTCAAGGAGACGCCGCCGCAGACGTTCGATTCCACCGTCCACCATCGGAGGAAGGGGTGGAGGTGGACCGGGAGGACGATGAGGGACTCCGGATCCTGCTGCCGGATAAAGGGTGCGAGAAACCGTTGAATTGGACGGAGCTGGAGGCGACCTCTGGCAGTCAGGTCTTGAGCCGACGTGAGGAGACCCAATAGAACCTGCCATTGGCGGAGAGTTCGAGCCTGTTGAAGGGCAGGGAAGAGATGAGCGAGGATTTTCAACCACCTGTCTCTGGGGACTTGAAGGAGGTCCAGATCCGTGAGAAACAGGCCCCCGATAAACTGCAGACGGAACGATGGGATCAGCTCCGACTTGGTCTGATTGACGATCCAACCCAACTGATTGAAGAGCCGCAGGGTAAAATCCCTGTGACGCAGTAGCAACGCCGAGTCCCGATTGTTGAGGAGACAATCGTCGATGTATGGATCGAAGTTGATGTTCCTCAGGTGTAGGTAGGCGGCGACCGGGCGGGTGATCCGTGTGAAAAGCCACGGGGCCGTAGAAATTCCAAATGGTAGGACCGCCCACTGGTAATGGGTACCATTGAAAAGGAACCTGAGGAAGCGCCGGTCGTTGGGGTGGATGGGGACATGATGATAGGCGTCCTGGATGTCGAGGCTGATCAGGGAATCGCCAGCTGAGATTCTCGTCCTGAGCAGTCGCAACGTCGTCATTCGGAAGTAGGGAGGACGTTCCAGGTAGAGCCGGTTGAAAGTGGAGAGATTGTGTATCATGCGCCAGCTGGTGGTCCCCTTCTTGGGCACCAGAAACACCGGAGAGTAAAATCCTGGGTGTCGAGCCGGGTCGTGTACGATCTCTATGGCCTCCTTCTGCAGTAGGGAAAGGATGCTGTCGTGAAGGGGCCGAAGCTGGTGGGGTGAATAAGCGGCCGTTGACGGAGTAGACGTCAGAGGAGGCAGCGCAGACAATGGGAGCCGGTACCCCTGACGGAGGATGTCGGTGACGAACGGGTCCTCCAGTATGTACCAGTTTCTCCAAAACCGGCCTAGTCTCCCACCCACAGGTGTGTCGGTGACCGGAACGACTGGGGGTGGGAGGTCCCAGTCGTTGAGGTGCCGCCGGTCAACGCTTTGAGGTGGAATCGGCCCCCTTGCCGGGGCGACGATCCCTTCGGGGTTGGTAAGTGCCACGGGCTCTACCACGACCACGCCCTGTCCCACGAAAGGGCGAGGTATGTTTGGAGACGACCTTGAGGGAGGAACGGCGTGGTTTATAATTGCCTTTGGAGGACTTGGCCGCTGATTGGTGTGTTACATGCTCCAAGGCTCTGAGAGCAGTTTCATCCCTGGCGAAACTGGAGACGCGGGTGTGGGTAGCGGAGATAGCACCATTAAAAAGGGTAGGACCCGACCAAGGTTGTCGTAGTAAGGAACGCTTGAATTCGGAATCCCAGTCCGTGGAAGTCAAGTAACCCAACCGTCGAGTAGTGGTGATCTCCGCAAGCGCAGCTCTCAGGTGATTGCGCATGTGATCGATCTGGCGAAGTTGGAACGTCATAACCGTGCGCAAGTGGTCGATCCTGTTAGGATTGGATTCAGCGAGATCCTGGTCAATGGCTCTGGCAGATGAAGCAAGTGTAGATAGTGGCTTCAAAGTACGGCGCAGTTCCGTTTCCACGAAAGCGAGTCGGGAGTCCGGCATACGTATGGTGACGGACTGAGAAGACCCGGTCATTCGATGTAAGTCCTCGTCCAGGATATGTGCACCGTCGGCCACGTCGAAGGAGTGGACGGGGAAATCTTCCCGCCGGAAACGCGGAGCCTTGAACGACGGCGTGAGGGACAACTTAGCGAAGTCCTCGTCCAACGCCGTAACCAGGTCAGTGAGCATTGGGTCGGGTGGTAGAGAAGTCGGATTAGACCAGATCGTCAACTTTTTATCCACATCGGAGCCCGGGGAGGGAGCGACGGAGGCCAGACGGTCCGCCAACCAATCAGCAACCTGTGAAAGGCCCAAGTGTGTATCAATCTCGGGAGATGGAGGGTCATAGTTGGGGCGAAATGATCCTTCCGAGGAGGAGGAACGACGTCGTCGTCTATGTACGGGTGAGTGACTACGAGAGCGACTACGAGAGCGACGACGGGAACGAGCAGACTTGGACGAGTGCCGAGAGACAGTCGGAGGCGACGAGGTGTACAATGTTCGAGACCGAGAAGCACCCGATGTGGAGGGGGCCTCAGGAATCGCAGTAGCAGTAGTCGGGGCCGTCAGCGTCGCCGGCGTCGCAGGAGGCACCGTCGGCGTCGCTGAGGTGGGTTGAGCTTGCGCAAACAATGACTGCATCCAAGCTTGCATCCAAGATGGATCCATGAACGATGACGGAAGGGCATGTCCATAAGTAGGAGGCGCAGCACAAGTCAAAGGCGCCGAAGTAGTCAGAGGCGCCGTATACATCGAAGACATCAGAGGCGCCGGACCAAGAGGCGCCGGATACATCGGAGGCGCCGGACCAAGAGGCGCCGGAGGCGCCGGGTAGATCGGAGGCGCCGGACGAAGAGGCGCCGGAAGCGCCGGGTAGATCGGAGGCGCCGGACCAAGAGGCGCCGGGTAGATCGGAGGCGCCGGAGGCGCCGGACCAAGAGGCGCCGGGTAGATCGGAGGCGCCGGAGGCGCCGGGTAGATCGGAGGCGCCGGAGGCGCCGGGTACATCGGAGGCGCCGGAGGCGCCGGGTACATCGGAGGCGCCGGACCAAGAGGCGCCGGAGTTGTCGTCGTAGATGGTAGAGGTGACAGGAAACCCGAAACGGGCGATGCTGCAGACGATGATGTCGAAGCAGATGACGGTAAGGGTGGTGTAGGAGACCGTGTACGGTCGGATGTCGTGCCATGGGAGGCAGACTCTACGTTGGATGACATGTTAGCGAGTCGACGCACACGCTGGGTGAATCGTTTCCGAGACACTCTGAGGTAGGCGGTGAAGGCGACTGGCGACAGGGGACTACAATAACTGCAACGCTCTGTGAGGGTACACGGGGTTGTACAGTCCAGGCAGCAGGGGTGGGGGTCCCGTCCAGATTTATTCCCGCGGCAGCGAGAGCAGCGAGACATACTGGAATTGAAGCAAAAAACATAACGATGTGTAAACACACAACGTGAAACATAATGTAACTCAACATAACTTATTCTTGTTACAAAGTTAATAAGAGCAAACAATTACGCTTCAAACACGCCGAAAACAATCATTAAACTTAATGTAAAACTCCAACCATAGAGCGAATTCAAGACACAAAACACGAAAGTACGTGGACATGTAGTGAATCGCAACAGGGCGGGAAAAAATGGCGGTAAACCAAAATGGCGGGAAACAACAATACGCTCGGAAAAACCGTGACGAGAGTCAGAACCCGAGCGAGAAACATTACCAATTAACAATATAATGAAGGCAAAGGTAATACAGCAGACTTTTGTCGTAGAAAACGAAAGAAAGTCAGGACCAAGTAAACTCTCTTTAATAATTCCACTGAGGGATACAGTTCACGTCCGATCCATGTGGTTGACAAAGCAGTTATGAGTTTTGACATGACGTCATGTCTTCCGGGTCACGTGCCGACTGTGTGGGAGGGGGCGCTGCTTCCTGGACAGATGGAAACAACTTTCTTCAGCAGCTGGATCTCACACAGTTCGTCTCTCTGTCAAAGACAGCAGTAAATGCAATACGGAGTAATGCAGGATAAGTTAAAAAATAACTGGTATTGTGTTGGTTTGTTGTTTAACGCTGCATTCACCAATATTCCAGGAACATGACAGCGCCCAATTTAATTTTGTTTGTTGTTAAACACTGCATTCAGCAATATTCCAGCTATATGACAGCGGTCTGTAAATAATCGAGTCTGGACCAGACAATCCAGTGATTGATATCATGAGCATCGATCTTCGCAACTGGGATGCGATGACATGCGCCAACCAAGACAGCGAGCCTAACTACCTGATCCTGTTTGTCGTCTCTTACAGCAAACAGTCGCCTTTTATGGCAAGCAAGGGTTGCTGAAGACCTATTCTACCCCAGATATACACAGGCAGCGCCCACAAAAATAATCAACTGGATCCGACAATCCTGTGACGTTAAGGGAAACCATAACGTCACCCAGCCTGACAACCTAATCCACCTGCTAGGGACCTATTCTAATCCAGAATCCCCGATATTGTGAGATCCACCAAAGGTTAAAAGGAACTACAATGAACTAGCTGTCTGTCATGTGTTTCCAAGCCTCTCACCTTGACACCCCGTGATGGAAGTCCATGCCATCGTAGAGAGAGTCGACGGCACACTTGGCATTACCCAGCGTGGACAGAGCATGCTTGCAGGTTTCAGCAGCGAAGCGTAGCTTGGTAACCGAGCGCTTGTTTTCAGTCACATCAGCCTTGTACTGTCTGCAATGCATTAGCATCATTTATAGCCAAAATGGATAGAATTATCATTAAAACGCCCGTATGTTAGCAGAAATGAGGGGGCCACTGTAACTTGATAATGCCCTCATATTACTTGACGACGGGCCATTATCACGCCCGTTGTTAGGTGACGTCATAGGATAGGGATAGGTGGCGTCACGTTCAATAGTGACATCATCTGGTTTGTTCTATGACGTTTCCATATTTGTAAAAGTGGGTCCCTGACATTTGTGTTGATTGCAGTAAATGTTTCAAAATCGATATTGTTGTTTCTTTTTATTTGATAACAAATTCCATCCATTTTAGCTATAATAACGGTAACGCTATTTTTCAGGGCATTATCAATTCCAGAAGCCCTCTGTCTTTTCAACTGCCTCCTTCGTCGGGCAGTTAATGGAAGACCTCAGGCTTCTGCAAATGATAGCGTTACCCATATAATAAAAAAATAATGGGCTTGGTCCTCAGGCACTGCCTACATCATCATAAAGTTCGCCGCATGTTTCGTTTATATTTCCATTCCTTAAATATTCCAAGTCCAACAGTAGCCAAATACAGTATTCTAGTATTTTACTCATCAAGGAATACATTTAGGTAGGAAGGCTCTTTCTCATTTATTTGGTTTCACAACTGTTTATTTGGTTACATACTCGTTTGAACTACCCCCACAAAAAAAGGAAAAACCCGCCCGCACTAAATTTTCAAAAACCATTGCCTGAGAACCAATTCTTTTATTTTGTTAAGCCTAACAAAAGGTCAAATGGATCACCATATACTTCAAGGTCATCATTGTTGAGGCACATTTGAATGGCTGATATTCCTAAATTATGACGATACCAATATCTCAAAATTGGAATTCATTTTATGCAAACACCTAACTCATCACATAGACATATTGTTTGAATATATATATATTTCTTGCATAATAAGGCAAGAGGAGAAGAACTTATATGCCTTAATTTGGAGGTGTGTGTGTGTTTGTTGCTTAAAGATGCACTCAGCAATATTCATGCTACAGGCTTGTAAATAATCTAGAGTCAGATATTATGAGCAACGATCCATGTCGTCGGGGTACACTGAGAGTGAGTGAGTGAGCATGGTTTTACCCCGCTTTTAGTAATATTCCAGCAATATCACGGTGGGGGACACCAGAAATGGGCTTCACGCACTGAACCCATGTCAGGTATCGAACCCGGGTCTTCAGCCTGACAAGCGAACGCTTTACCACTAAGCTACCCCACTGCCCCGGGTACACTGAGAATACATCAACCAAGTTAGCAAGCAGTGACCACTAGGGCTGTAACGATTCACTGATACGGTCCACGATATAATCGATACTTTGGTTCACCCGATACTTGAATCATCTGTTTGTCAGATCGTGATATGCTATAAATAGAACAAGAAGTAATAGAGTTACCTCCCATTATGGGAGACAAGCATGGCAGAACACAAGGAGTGGTAGCTGAGGACGAGGACTAACTGTTACATTAAATAACCATCCCTTCATTTAAACCTGTTTTGTTCTTGTGGTTTTCTTTCTTAAAGTTTTTTAGATGTCAATACATAAATGTATAAAGGTTTTTGAGCTGTATTTCAGTGATTTCATCATTTCTTACTATTGATGTGGTGTATCGTTATACCAGTAGTATCGTCAGTCCATATCGTGATACGAATCATATCGCAAGATACCAGGCGATACTCTGCTCTACTGACCACCTGACTGATTTGAAGATTTGACAAACTGCACTCTGCACCTACCTCTTAAACTCAGTAGCAAGATACTTGAGCAGGACTTCTGTGAACTGGTTGCCTCCGAACTGAGTGTCTGCTGTGGATGAACAGACTCTGTACATGCCGTTCTCTATCTTCAGCACTGTGGCATCGCTTGACGTGCCTCCAAGCCGGTACACCAGGGCATAGCTGGAAGCACGATCACGAAAGGTAGAAGTTTCATGTCGTAGGACTGATAAATATTAATACTGTATTCGACGTAATAAGCGCCCTGCTCTAATAAGCGCCCACGGCGATATTTACTAATATATTTGCTGGTGAACAATCCCAATTAGCACCCCTTCCGATTGGTCAATGTACAAAAGACTTATTTATTCGCGTATAATACACAATTAAATTCTTAAAAAAAATATCTGTCGTATATAAACATTTCAAGCTGTCAGCATAAACCACGAAATTTATCTTTCAAGGCTGGTTTTTTTCACCAAAATAACATTCTATTAAGAGCCCCCATTTCTAATTTTGAGAGTGCCCACGGCGCTTATTACGTCGAATACGGTATCTAATTTTTGGATATTTAATACTTATCCTGCATTACATCTAATACAATCTCTTGCTCTTGAACCGAAACGTAATCTAATCTCAAAGGCGATATCTCACCCAGAGAGAGACGTTTCCATAAACGAATCACCGAAACAGGCCGAACTACAGCCATCACGTGACCCAAGCTGCAGGATAATGTAGGATAATGCAGAATAATGTATGATAAAGCAGGATAATGTAGGATAAAGCAGGATAATGTAGGATTATGTAGGATAAAGCAGGATAATGTAGGATAAAGCAGAATAATGTAGGATAAAGCAGGATAATGCAGGATAATGTAGGATAAAGCAGGATAACTTAAAAATCTATTGATTAGGCAGGCAAGTATGGTCATAACATGGGCAACATTCACACATTGTCTTGCTGCTACTTCAAACCAAGCAAATGTTGGATTGAAAAGTCCTGCTCTCACTCGTGTGAACAGATCTGCTAACTTGCACATTTTCCACTTATGCAGATCATGGGCCAATACATGTCCTCATCCCGCCTCCCCTTTGAGTCATCCTCATGGATGAAGTTACCTGCTCTCTGAATGGTCCATCTGCCCAAGGTCATACGCCAAGGCTGCAGCTGATGCTTCGTTGATTAACCTGAGGATGTTGAAGCCGGCTTTGGTGGCAGCCTCACTGTCAAAAGATACATAGAATGTTTGACTACATGGTAAAAGGTCTCCATTTCCATATCACTTGCATCCTTCTGAATGCTATTCAAACTTAAATGTCAATGATTTAGAAAGTTAATAAGTGAGGTGAGGTGAAATTGGGTTTAACGTCGCGTCCAAGATTATTGCACTTATATAGCGACGTGCATGCACATGTGTGTGTGGCTGCTTGTACTAGTCCGGACTGATGCCGATTTATAGTGCTAGCTCACTGAGATACCATGCCGCAGTTTAACAAGAATATCCCACTCAGACACAGTATACTGACTCTGAGCCGACCAGTCCTTGTTTTAGCCCCTTAGTACCATCTTTTAACGTCTTTTAGTATGATGTGGCCTGGGATCGAACCCCGGACCTTCCGCTCTCCGGGCGGACGCTCTACCACTAGACCACGGAGGCGGTCAGAAAGTTAACAAAGGGTGAATGAATATAATTGTGAACCACAATCATCAAATTCCACCTTTATCAAGGGGGGCAGTGTTTAAACAGCCAAGTCATACTCAGAGAGTAAGTGAGTTGAGTTTAACACAGCTTTCACTTTGATGAAACCCATGAGCACAAGTACGGTGCTGACAAACCTGGAAACATAATCAGAGCGAACTAGGATTCAAATCCACAATCTTGGTTGGTTGGTTGGTTTGTTGTTTAAAGCCGCACTCAGCAATACTCCAGCTATATGACAGCGGTATGTAAATGATCCAGTCTGGACCAGACAAACCCGTGATTGACATCATGAGCATCGATCTACGCAATTGGGATACGATGACATGCATCAACCAAGTCAGCGGGCCTGACCACCTGATCATGGGTTGCTGAAGACCTATTCTACCCCGCATCTTCACGGGTCGTATCCATTAGTAATAGTTATATACTCATTCACACTCAAAAGTCGACAACCCCTGGATACATCCCATGAAGACAATTCCAGTGACAGTGTTATGGTACACTCATCCTCACCTGAAGGTGTTTTTGTGTTCAGGCCCAAAGCCAAATGGCACAGTGAGTACAGCATCCTGAATGCCACTTCCTCCGTGACTCTGGGCAGTTTCTGGTGGAGCAAACGTAGACATGTAGGCTTACATTTTAACATTATCAACATACGCTGAATTTCAGAAAATAAGGACTTTTAAGAAAATCCCAGTTTTCAGCAAAAAAATTCCAAATTTGTCTGCCAAAGGTACTTCATCTGGATAATCCCTGCAGTATGTAAGATGAATATACAAACAAGCTTATGTTTAATGCACAGTCAATCTCATTGAAATGAGATCTAAGTTCTCGTTACCACTAAACAAAGATCTGAGGACATCCCATTACAGGTCACGTCAGACTGACCTTTCCCGAACTTTGACCGACCCATGGAATGACTGACAGGAAGTCGACTTTGCCAAGCAGACGGCAGCTTTCTCATTTTTAACAGCACAGGTGGCTTTGCTTCGAAACATGTTTTGACAAATTCTCGATTAAATATTTGAAAAATGAACAAAGGAACATTCTGGAATGGCAAACAAGTGTCCCAGATTGTATGGATTCAGTCATAAAGCCTGTAACCATGGTAACTGTCTTTCAGAATACCCCGTGTTAAATTTTCGAGGTTGCATGATTAGAAAACACATTCCGACGGTCTCTTTCATGATCTGGTAAGCGACACTCTGATTGGTCGGATGAGAGGTTGGTCTGACCTGACCCGTTATGGTATTTCCTCAGATCTTTGTTTCATGGTAGCGAGAACAAAGATCTGATTTAAATCAGATTGAATGCATCGTAGGATTAATAAAATAATCTGGTGATTCAGAAATTGCATAGGATGTTATTAGTCTCAATGAAAAAGAAGGGAGGCAAATTTTTAGATTACAACAGCTTATTTCCCAGCTCAAGTTGACATGACATTCACTGGGTGGGCAGGTGGACTAGGAGTGTTCTTGTTGCCAGAGACAATTCCAAATGCACATCTAAACATGTCTGCAAGTGCCCTGTATGGTATTATTATCAGCAACATCCAGCACCACTGGGGTATGGTGACACTCATCCAAGTCACCAGGCCTGACCACCATTATAACTAAGTCACGTCCCACGCCAAGCATGCAGAATTCCTGAAATGGGATGTTGAACCAGAACTGTACAATTTTTCTCAACAGCTGGTGTGAGAAACCCATGTGAAGTAACTGGAATAAACGTGTATGAGATTGAATTCCAGGTCCATGATTGGCTACTCCAGTGAGTGAGTGAGTGAGTGAGTGAGTGAGTGAGTGAGTGAGTGAGTGAGTGAGTGAGTGAGTGAGTGAGTGAGTGAGTGAGTGAGTGAGTGAGTGAGTGAGTGAGTGAGTGAGTGAGTGAGTGAGTGAGTGAGTGAGTGAGTGAGTGAGTGAGTGAGTGAGTGAGTGAGTGAGTGAGTGAGTGAGTGAGTGAGTGAGTGAGTGAGTGAGTGAGTGAGTGAGTGAGTGAGTGAGTGAGTGAGTGAGTGAGTGAGTGAGTGAGTGAGTGAGTGAGTGAGTGAGTGAGTGAGTGAGTGAGTGAGTGAGTGAGTGAGTGAGTGAGTGAGTGAGTGAGTGAGTGAGTGAGTGAGTGAGTGAGTGAGTGAGTGAGTGAGTGAGTGAGTGAGTGAGTGAGTGAGTGAGTGAGTGAGTGAGTGAGTGAGTGAGTGAGTGAGTGAGTGAGTGAGTGAGTGAGTGAGTGAGTGAGTGAGTGAGTGAGTGAGTGAGTGAGTGAGTGAGTGAGTGAGTGAGTGAGTGAGTGAGTGAGTGAGTGAGTGAGTGAGTGAGTGAGTGAGTGAGTGAGTGAGTGAGTGAGTGAGTGAGTGAGTGAGTGAGTGAGTGAGTGAGTGAGTGAGTGAGTGAGTGAGTGAGTGAGTGAGTGAGTGAGTGAGTGAGTGAGTGAGTGAGTGAGTGAGTGAGTGAGTGAGTGAGTGAGTGAGTGAGTGAGTGAGTGAGTGAGTGAGTGAGTGTGCTTTTTAACAATATTCAACTTACAGCATGGTGTGTCAACTTAATATGGAAGGAAAGCCCCAAGTGATGCAGGTCTCAGATATGTAAGACAAATGGTAGGTGAGAGCTACTTGTTGTGTTCCAAATAAACACCTGCCCATAAGCCCAGGGTTGGAAGATCTTGTGTCGGGCCAGTAGTTTCAAATTTGATTTGTCCCTTATGGCCAGCAGTAAATTTACCTGTCAGTCTATTTGTCACAATTAGCTGCGGTCTAGTTAATGATGGCCTGAAAAGATTAGGTAAGTTCTAAAGTCTGTGGGTCCTGATGGCAGCCTGGGAATACATATTATTTGAAACATTGGCTACTCGTATAGTTCTTGTTCTTGTTCGTTGTTTAACGCGCACTCAGCAATATTCCAGCTATACGACAGCGGTCTCTAAATAGTCCAGCCTGGACAAGACAATCCAGTGATTGACATCATGAGCATCGATCAAAGCTATCGGGATACGATGACATGCATCAACCAAGTCAGCAAGTCTGACCACCGATCCTGTTAGTCGCCTCTTAATACAAGCATAGTCGCCTTTTACGGAAAACATGGGTTGCTGAAGACCTATTCGACCCCGGATCTTCACGTATAGCAATCTCTACATCTCCTACCTAGCATCTTCCTGTAGATAATCTCCGCGACCTGACTGGCGGAGTACTGACTCGTCTTCCCCTTGTGGTTCACTTCAAACTGAGGGATCCCATTCTTCTCCACCACCTGTGGAGATGCAATAGGAATAAAAGCCTCTTGTCAAGATGTTTCCACAGAACACAAAACACAAAGATCCGGTTCTAATGAGATTGTCATAATGACTTACCTTGGCTGTAGACTTGGCGCTGAAGTTCTCAACCACTGGGTCCTCCATCTTCCGCCCCAGAATTTGTTTAACATTACTGATGGTGTTGGCTGCATTCCTGATAATGCCCTGCTTGGCTGCCGCCCCGACCGACTGGAAGGAGGAGTGAATATTGTATCAACCCACAGTTAGCTCTGTCAACTGTATCTCGGTGTTTTGAACATGACTTGACGGCATGATCAAATATACCGTATTCGACGTAATAAGCGCCCAGGGCGCTCTCAAAATTAGAAATAGGGGGCTCTTATTAGAATATTATTTTAGTGATAAAAAACAGAGTTAAAAGGTAAATTTCGTGGTTTATGCTGACAGCCTGAAATGTTTATGTACGACAGATATATTTTTCCAGAATTTAATTGCCCATAATTAAGTGTGCATATAACAGATGAGTGCGAATTTTAAGCGAATATATAAGTCTTGCGTACATTGATCGATCTGAAGGGTAGCTAATTAGGATTGTTCACTGGCCAATTTATTAGCGAATATCGCCGTGGGCACTTATTACGTCGAATATGGTACATGCCGTGACACTGACATAAGCCTGGTCCACGATAGCAATCACTCAAAATGTGAAAAAATAATCTTAATTGGTTTGGTTGGTGGGAAAAGAACTGGGGTAGGGGTTATTGGGTTTAGTGTTGCGCTCGTGATACTTGCACTCACACGGCTTTGTGCATGCATGTTGGTTGATTAACGCCGCACTCAGCAATATTCCAACTACATGATGGCGGTCTGTAAATAATCCAGTCTGGACCAGACAATCCAGTGATTGACATCATAAGCATTGATCCACGCTATTGGTTGGTTGTTTTTTGTTTACTGCTACACTCAGCAACATTCCAGCTATATGACGGTGGTTTGTAAATAATACATTCTAAACCAGACAATCGAGTGATTGACATCATGAGCATCGATCTACGCAATTAGGATACAATTACATGCATCAACCAAGTCTTTGAGCCTGACCACCCGATCCCGTTAGTCGCCTCTTACGACAAGCATGGGTTGCTGGAAGCCTATTCTTGACACAGATCTCCACGGTTCCACTGGGAATACATATTTTAGAATCATAACCTGGTGTATACCTGATCATGGTCGGTGAATGCAACAACACAGGGCGTAACTCTGTCTCCGAGATCGTTAGCAACAACATCCGCCTTCCCATCCTGAAACACAGTGTGGAGTATTAGAAATTTAACGCTATAGTCATAATAGTCAGGTGTTGAATTATTGCAATACATTACATGGGATAAAACAAAATTGTACTCCATCAAACATTGTATTACAATAGGAGCCTATCTGGATCTTCTCAAATATCAAGTCTGCAGGAAATGTCAATAAAAATTCACAAATTGGAAATAACACTCTCTAAATGTATTTATATAGTCATAACTAATGCTATGCCATTGTAGAGCGACCACCTCCGTTGTCTAATGGTAGTGCATCCACCCAGAGAGCGGAAGGTCCGGGGTTCGATCCCTGGTCACATCAAACCAAAAGACGTTAAAAGATGGTACTTGTTGTTACCATGTCTGGCGCTCGGCATTAAGAGGCTAAAACAAGGACTGGTCAGCTCGGAGTCAGTATACTGTGTCTGAGTGGGGTATTCATGTTAAACTGCGGCATGGTATCTCAGTGAGCTAGCACTATAAATCGGCATCAGTCTGGACAAGTACAAGCAGCCACACACACATTTGGCATGCACGTCGCTATGTAAGTGCAATAATCTTGGATGCGACAACACACCCACCCCAAAATATTTTGATGATAAAAATGTTTTCATAAACTGACGCCTTGCATAAAATGCATGGCTGCAGGCTAGACTTAATAAACATATATTGAAAACTATCAACATCACTGGGCTTATTCAATGACATCACTTGTAGAGATGATAGATCACTGAGAGGAGGTTATTCACATTTGATGACTCCTGACATCACAGGGCATTGTTTCACCGGTGTGTCTGGCAACACAATTTCACAAATTATGTCATAGGGTTTTGTGACCTGTTAGAAAAGTTTGTGGTACTAGGCCCTGTTCCATAAGGCGATTGTAGCACTAAGACGATTGTAACTCCTAAACATTAACATAGACTTACGACTGTCGTAGCGCTAAGATAGCTTTGTGGAATAGGGCCCTGTATGGCAAAAGTAGACACTAACAGTAACCCATAGGGTCAGCAGCTAATATTGGGTGGATACAATGATAGGGTAATCAGAACCATGTATCACTATTTAAACATGTTTAATGTCTTATGAGTATCATGAATGGTGTAGTTTCAAGGTTCCTTGGCAACAAGCATGTGTAAAAGATTCCATGATATTTTTTAATGTGCAATCGGAGCACCTTTGGAATACAGTACCACAACTTCTCGTGTGGACGATCTCTGCCGTAGGTCATGTATCTCAAAGACATGCAGACAGTTTTTGTTAAAATTTTGTCGAACGCGAACTTGCAACCTTCGGATTGTTAGCACAACAGCTAACTGACTGAGCTGTGCCCACACAGTGAAACAAATAAAACATATTTTTTAAATAAAAGTGCTTTCACCAACTAGCGCTGTCTATAAAATGCGCTGCCGCAGGTCTATATTTAGTAAACAAATATTTAAAACTCTCAGCATTGCTGGGCTTATTCACAACATTGCACGTGGAGATCACTGAGAGGAGCTTATGCACACTCGCTGACCCCTGACGTTACACTGCATTGTTTTGCCAGTGTGACTGGCAACAAAATACTTCAAATTAAATCATAGGGTATTGTGACGTGTTTGAAAAGTCTGTTATACTGCATTCTAAAGGTAAGCCATGCACACTGATGGAGCATGTGAAGGCCTGTGCACAAATTAGCATCAGACTCATTATGAAGTCAGATAGTAAAGATAGAGCAGTACATAGCTATGATTTCACAGCTATGGTATCGTAATCACCCATCTAACATGTCTAAGGATCCCCTAATAATTTTAACAATAAGATTTGACCAAACATGAAACCCTATAGTTTGTATGTTTATTGTTTAACGTCGCACTCAGCAATATTCCAGCTATACGACGGCAGTCTGTAAATAATTGAGTCTGGACCAGACAATCCAGTGATTGATATCATGAGCATTGATTCACGCAATTGGGATCGATGACATGCATCAAGTGAAATCCTATAGATTTTCATCACTTCATAATACTGTGATATTATACTGAAAGTAATTTTCGGGCTGACGGGGGAATTCCCATAGAGACATTAGACATTAGATTGACCTAAGAATATTTCTAAGACTGTATATAAACATGGCAGTGATGGAGTATTTCTGAGACAGAGCAAAAAAGTTAACTGGTTCATGCAAGAAGGGCATTTGACTGGATTGCCTTGATTCAAGTCGCAACAGTTGGCTTAAGGTTGGTTCCGTTTCCATGGCCAAATTTATGTCCGCACTGAGACGAGGCTTGATTAATACTCAATTTCGGATGTAGGCAAGGGCAACAAATCGAACGATGAATCATGTCGCCGGCGATAACACAGTGTTGTGAAGGACATTTCTACAATAATTTCAAAGGAATTCTCTGTGATTTATATATGTACCAATAGACTGAACTACAAAATATTAACGACACTGAAATATATAACTGAATATATCTTGTTCAACCTTGTAAACAGCAAGGCACGCAGAACACGTGCCAAAATGAACACCAAAAGCCGCCATGACAGTTTTGTAATACTTCCGGTGGGGTAAGGAGGGGGGACATAATTTCCGCTACGCGCGAGTATCTATATTTAGATCTGAAACAACCAATCAAATTTCGCCAACTGGACTATGGGTGAGGGAAACACGTCGACTACACGCGAGTTGACTAGAATTGCCGGGTACACGCGTGCTTGTTGAAATTCACTGACGTGTACGTGTGTAAATTGTGTTGAATTTTCTCAAACGTGTTAGAGGACGTGCTCCAGGTGTATCATAAGAAGTCTGATTTCATAGACCGAAGCGACAGGACGAATTTAAGACAAAGCGAACAGTTTTGTATAGATCTGTCACTGAATTGACATTTAGAAATTTGAGGGAGTGTGATTGTCTGAAAAAAACATACAGACATGCTTCCTACATTGAAAGTTGGGGTTGTCCAAGCTTTTTCGCTGTTTGTGATTTACAGTGTCGCAACAACAGCTTGGGCAGCTTTGAAAGAAGGAGACTGTGAAGGTAAGGTATTTATTGAAGTTTGAATAATTAACTTGATACGTTCTACTTCATAAAATTCATACCGAAAATTCAGAATCTTAGGGGTCACTAAATCTTGGTTCGATTAAGGCCAAAATGAATTTGATCTCATTAATTTATATTTGAATTTAAAGTGTTTTTCAATTAGGCTATTTATGAAATTCTTTATACTGTTATGGTAGTGGATTCAATAATGACAATAGTTCTTATCTTGATTAGGTACTACAGAAATGGATGTGAGTGAATTATGAGTTATGATAGTTTGTAAACAACATATCAATAGGATTCAGTATAGATGTTTTGTAGACTTGGTAGAACAGAACAGATAATGGAGTTTGTTCATAACCAAAATACTTTTAGATCCGATTCAGGTGATAACGATGACATAACTGATGAAATATTGAACCAATATGAAATATTAAGAGAGTTGCATTATTATATATAGATCTATGATTTGTTTTGATTCACAGAATGTGATAATAATAGTACTAAAGATAGATTATTGCAATATTGATAATTTGTTTCAAGAAAAAGGCATGAGGCAACACATGCATGTTCATTTTCTGAGAGAAGCTTGAAATGGATCTTTATCTCTCTGAGAAAGCAAATTGATGTTTAAAACTTAAGGAAATGGAAAATTTGTGAACAGATTATTGCTAGCAATTGCTAAGTTTTCGCATATATTTGAAATGGAACAGAGACCATTAGCCTGATTGCACACTTTCAGTTTTGGTCAATAAAAATATATATTTGTTCCTGTGAAAGTTAGATTTCATCATAAAGATACATGTATTAATGTTTCATACATTTCCAACTGAGCATTATTTCTTTTTTTTCAGTTTGCATCAAGACTCTGAACAAGTTCACAGATCAATTAGCGGATGCAGATAGAAAATCTACAGATTTAATTGAAACAAAGTTCAAGAAATTCTGCAAGAACCTTCGTTTGAAAGAAGAGAGATTTGTAAGAATCTTTTAATCATGCTTTTGTGTATAGAACGTAAGACACTTTGTGCATCTCCTAAGCAGAACATGCAGAAGGGCATGGGGTTAGCATGGGTACTCCTCATGCTCTCCCTCAATAACGGGAAGATTCCGTGGTAGAACATGTCTTCAGCAACCCATACTTGTCGTGAAAGGCGACTATATGCTTGTCGTAAAAGGCGACTAACGGAATCGGGTGGTCAGGCTCGCTGACTTGGTTGATACATGTCATCGATCCCAATTGCAAGGATTGATGTTCATGCTGTCAATCACTGGGTTGTCTGGTCCAGACTCGATTATTTACAGACTGCCATCATATAGCTGGAATATTGCTGAGTGCGGCATTAAACAACAAACAAACAAAACCTCAACGAGGGGATGGTTCTGCCCATCTTCCTGAGGCAAGGGAGTCAACTGCATGTTTATATATAAAGTTCCAGTTTCCAACCTTGCCTGCAGCTGGTAACTTTTCTGTCAGGCTTCATGAAATTTTCTTCCACTTGCCCAACGTGTCTGGCAGACAATGTTATGACTACTTACATATTCAGTTTTTCGTAGTTTCTCAAGTAATTGTTTGCATTATTATCATGATTATACCCATGACCTATAGGGGCAGGGGTATATACAGTGATATAGTTATACCAATGATTTCCGTCCGTCTGTCCTGTTTAGGACATTTTCTTGTGTGACATATAACTTCAAAACTACGACACAGATTCTTTTCAAACTTGATGACCACTTTTTATACCTATAGGAGAGGTTCAGTGTAAGGTTTCATTTTAATATTTGGACTAAAAGTACAGCTTTTTAAAAAAAACAATGCATTAGAATTCTTTTTACATACACATTTTTTTCCTATAGCTGGAAAGCCACTGCATGGATTCTTTTCAAACTGGGGGAACAGTTTCCACACAAATTTAAGAGTTGAAGTGCAATGTTTAATTCTGATCTGCATTTTCCGAAAAAAATATGATTTTTTCATCTTTGGAACGTAGGAAATTGTGTTACTTCAACTTTCATGCAAGCTGTAACTTAAAAACTACTTCATGGATTTTTTTCAAATTGGGGGTACAGTTTCTATACCAATTGGAAAGGTGCAGTGCAATGTTTGATTTCGATAAGAGAATTTTCTGAGAAAATATTGGAAATATGTTGGATTCGAAGTCGAGGGTATAAGTGAGCCCTGCCAGCACTAACAAAGATCAGAGGACATCCCATTACGTGTCACATCAGAACGACCTTTCATCCAGCCAATCAGTGTCCCTCACCAGATCATGACAGGACAGTCAGCGGTAGAAACTAACATTTTTGGTCCACTAATCCTTATAATGATAATATTTAGCAAAAACCTTAAAAATGGCAAGTTTCTACTAGTCCTTATGATACCTTAACTATTGGGCAGTTTGGCAAGGACTATAGGACTAGTGCCAATTTCTAACCCTGACAGTCGTAATGTGTTTTCTAATCATGCAACCTCAAATTTTAACATGGGGTATTCCCAACAACAGTTAGAGGCTTTATGACTGAATCCATGCAATCTGGGACATCTATTAGCCGTTCTAGAAGTTCTTTTTCAGATTTCAAATGTTTCATTATTATCGAGAATTTTTCAAAATATGTTTCAAAGCGTAGTCGCCAGTTTGAAACTATGGCCGTAATGCATGAGAAAACTGCCTTCTGATTGGCAAATGTCGACTTCGTGTCATTCATTCCATTTGTCGTTTGCAAAAGGTCGGTCTGATGTGACTTGAGTAGAGTGTCCTCAGATCTTTGTTCAGCTGATTTGAATGAGATTGTATGTATTTCTATGGTGCACGCTTCATGTTTCAGTGCTACTATGTCGGGGGTTTAGAGACCTCGGCAACTGCCATCCTCCAGGACATCTCCAAACCAGTGAGCTTCTACAAACCCAATGAGAAGATCTGTGAAGACCTTAAGAAGAAGGATAGCCAGATCTGTGAACTGAAATATGGTGAGTTCTTAGTCGTTAATTGCACTGTGGATTTCCACAGCAGCATGAGAGGTCCCAGTATATGACCGCCTCCGTGGTCTAGTGGTAGAGCGTCTGCCTGGAGAGCGGAAGGTCCGGGGTTCGATCCCCGCCTCCGTGGTCTAGTGGTAGAGTGTCTGCCTGGAGAGTGGAAGGTCCGGGGTTCGATCCCCGCCTCCGTGGTCTAGTGGTAGAGTGTCTGCCTGGAGAGCGGAAGGTCCGGGGTTCGATCCCCGCCTCCGTGGTCTAGTGGTAGAGTGTCTGCCTGGAGAGGGGAAGGTCCGGGGTTCGATCCCGGCCGTGTCATACCAAAAGATGTTAAAAGATGGTACTTGTTGTTAGCCTGTCTGGCGCTCGGCATTAAGGGGCTGAAACAAGGACAAATGACGTAATAAGCGCCCACAGCGATATTTGCTAATATATTAGCTAGTGAACAATCCCAATTAGCACCCCTTCCGACTTGGTTGATACATGTCATTGTATCCCAATTGCGTTGATCAATACTCATGATGTCAATCACTGTATTGTCTGGTCCAGATTTGATTATTTACATATAGCTGGGATATTGATGACTGCGGCTGTAAACAAAGAAAGAAAATATAAAAATGATAAAGCTGTAGTACCTTATGTGTTCCTGAATATTTTCTCCATTTTTTTACCAAGACATATCTTTCATAATTAAACAATCAAAAGTGGTTATGCATGATTGCCAGTTGATATTGGTTAAAATTATAACACAAAACATTTTATATCCTCAGATAAGGAGATTGACCTTTCCAAGGCTGACTTCAAGAAAATGAAGGTCAAGGAATTGAAGAAGATCCTTGAGGGGTGGGGTGAATCGTCTGCCTGCAAAGGATGTGCCGAAAAATCAGACTTCGTACGTGTTATTAAAGAACTGATGCCCAAGTATGCCCCCGAGGCTCACAAGAAGAGGGAGGAGCTTTGATCATTTTGTCGTTTTAGAACTTAATTTTCATGAAAGGGTCATTTCTGTTACATGTATAACACAGATTTGCATACATCTAAATAATACAACATAAATATTTTAGGTTATTGCTAAAAAATGAAAGCATATTATTATACGAAACAGGATTTGATCGTGTCATGGTAACTTGACTGCTAATTCTTCTGATATAACATTGACAAAAATTGAAAGTCTGTTTGAACATTCTTGTGACCGTTCTGATACACAAGAAACCAGGAAAAGGCTTTTTTGGATAAAATTTATTGTGATTTAATTTGGGGTAGTGTTGTTGTAAATGTGTTCATTTGTTGCATATAGGTCCAGGTTTGAATCCTGACATCGGGAAAGTTGATAAGAATTATTCATGGTGTCCCTGTATGATATGGTAACACTTTTCTTGTGAATTTTCTGTTTCATGCGACTTGCTGTTGCATTATTTAAATGTATGCACTTACGTCGTCTAAGTTATTTTGTTATGACATCGTTGACATGAAGCATGTACGTTTGTTAATACTGTACATAAACTTTCTCATGCCATCATCATCGTGTGTAGCCATGTTAGTTCATTTGACCAATTCCAAATTGGACCGTAATTCTTTTCTGGAGAATTGGTTTAAAACCATGTGATTTAGCCTTGCCATCCACAAACTGACACCATTGATGTTGTGCAGTTCATTTGACAAATCCAATTTAGAAATTAGCAGTGTTCTGTCGAGGCAGTGGCCTCGCGGGATTCTCGAAATATTTTATAGATTGGCGCATGATATATACTCTCAGTGGGACAAGGGGCGCATTCATGTAGATGGGTTTATTTATATAATTATAGGAGTCACTTACTGACTCAAAAACAGTTTATATCACAAGACAGCTGCTTCTATTTTGAATGTAGACGTCATGATTTTAGTTGCCTTATGCATCTCAATTTGGTTGAAAGTCATAAATGGTTCATTCAGAATTGAGTATACACATTTTTTAAATCTTAATATCTGTAAAAGATGTCCTGTGAAAATTCCGTGTCTGGCTAAGGGCGTTAATGACCTGCATTCCATGGGTTTTTAAGTTTTATGTTATTGGAGAGTTTGACCTCACAAGTTTTGAAAATGACCCTATGTATTTATGCTGAAGGGATCCCTGTCCCCAGTTGGTCAGTGTCTTGGCAGAACACTGAATTAGTAAATCATTTCTATGAAATCGGTTAGAACCGTGATGTCGATTGAAGTTCTATCAACCCAGCAATGACCATTGTCACCTCATCTGCGTACATTGGCTTAACATATCATTGTGCATCACGTGTTGTCAAGGGTCGAGAGGGCAGTGAAGGGCAAAGACTACACCAGACCTGCTTTCTTCTTTCATTTCTGATCCCAGATACCATAATATATTTATTTAATATATTCAATACTTTGTGATGCAACAATACCAATAAACCAAACCTGTCAACATTTTTACCTTTCTCATGTTTTCTAGTTTAAGTTTGTAAAGAATATACTTTAATCTCCTCTTATAAAAAGTCATTATGATCATCCTGTTTTTTTAAGGCATCTTAAGAATGATTGATGCACACACCTTTCGCTAGTCCGACGTCACATTGTTTTGTCACCTATTTCCTTAAATGTTACGTCATTGTATACTCCCCAGGGAGGTGAGAATGATAATTTGAATGCATACAGATCCACTGGTTGGGGAACAAATAAACCGTATCTTTGAGCAGATACTATTATCTGGATAGGTACATTATATAAATGTATCATAAAAATAATCATTGGGAATTGTTATGTATGTAATCTTCATGGTAGGCCTTTCCTTCTGGTTAGGTCGGGGTAGCCTAGTGGTTAAAGCGTTCACTCGTCATGCCAAAAGCCCGGGTTCAAATCCCCACATGGGTACAACGTATGAAGCCCATTTCTGGTGTCCCCCGCCGTGATATTGCTGAAATATTGCTAAAAGCGGCGTAAAACCATACTTGCTCACTTCTAGTTCATGGGGGGCCCAGTCGTCTAAGGCGCCACGATTCGCTGTGCAGAGTTGCGTCCCTTGGGCACGCCAGAAACCTATGATTGTGGGTTCGAATCCCGGTTCGCCCCGATTATGTTTCTAGGTTTGTCAGCACCGAAGTGGTAAACTTTGGGCTTTCCTCCCACATTAAACTGACACGCCGCGATATAACTGGAATACTGTTATGGCGTTAAACCCAGCTCACTCACTCACTCACTCTGGTTCATGTATTTGTTTTATCCTAGATCTGGACCATCACTATGACTGTGTTGTACCCACTAAGCAGTGTATAAAGACATTGCTCTCCATCATGGAGTCTGTGAAGCAGATGGGAGCCAAGTGGGCAGACCTTGGTCTGTCGGCACCATACATGGACTTCTCCACACTTGCGTAAATCTACGACCCAAGTTTTCTCCCATGTTGGGCCACATGTCTACAGCAGTAGAAACTACTTTCTATTGCTTTGCTACAATTGTTTGCAAGAAGGTTTGGGTCCCGTTCCACAAAGCGATCTTAGCCCTAAGGTGATCATAACACCCTTATTTTAACATAGGCTTATGATAGTCATAGCGCTAAGATTGCTTTGTGGAATGGGAGTCTGGTTAGCCTCGATAGAATTCATGCTCAGTGGCCCGATCCACAATGTGATCGTAGCGCTACGACAATCATAAGCCAATGTTAAAGTAAGGGAGTTACGATCACATAGCAATGGAGCTCTGGTTTCTTTGAAGTTTGGGAGTTAAGGTCAAGTCCTGTCTGCCACTGAACATTGGATTCAGAGCGTAGAAAGAAATGATCTGACCACATCAGCTCAGTGTTTAACAGTATGTGTTGAGTGTGTGATCTAAATATTAATATGTCATTTTGAGTAAACCCTTGTTTGAGCTTTTTCTTGACTTAAGACCTGTATTTTCATATTTTCAAGTTGATCAAGCTGAACTTCTGATTACCATGGAAACACGAATTCGTGACATTTAGAAAAATGTTTTCATGATACCAAATACCTATCAGAATTTATCCTTCCTTGATGTTATTATTTATTCATGGCTGTATAAACCTTGTCTGAAAGAGAACTACTTGATTGAGAATGTCGGAATCATTGTTGAACTTCAATATCAGCTCATGTCGTCCACCACGTTCTTGAATGAGTATGCACTTGTAAATTGTGTATAGTTGTCTTGGTGTAAATGTGTTTATAGAACTTGAAATATTAAGCTGCATGTAAAGGGTGTCAGACAAGCACAAGTGAAAGAATACAACTTATTTTGGGACATTAAACTTGTTAACTACTTCATATCTCGCAGTTTTTATTTAACATGTTCAGGGTTGAACTGACACAAATATTGGATTATGAAGCATTCATGTTGAGATTGAAACAAATGATTTACACTGCAAGTCTTGGTGGTCGCCAAAAAATATGGTGAGTTCTTAGTCGTTAGTTGCACTGTGGATTTCCACAGCAGCATGAGAGGACCCAGTATGTGACCGCCTCCGTGGTCTAGTGGTAGAGTGTCTGCCTGGAGAGCGGAAGGTCCGGGGTTCGATCCCCGGCCGCGTCATACCAAAAGACGTTAAAAGATGGTACTTGTTACCCTGTCTGGCGCTCGGCACTTTGGGGCTAAAACAAGGACTGGTCAGCTCGGAGTCAGTATACTGTGTCTGAGTGGGGTATTCTTGTTAAACTGCGGCATGGTATCTCATCAGTCCGGACTAGTACAAGCAAACACACACGTACATGCACGTCGCATTATAAGTGCAATAATCTTGGACACGACGTTAAACCCATTTCACCTACGGTATTCCTAATTGTGGGGATCGATGTTCATAATGTCAACACTGGATTGTCTTGTCCCGAATCGATTATCGATTTACAGACCGCCGTCATATAGCTGGAATATTGCTGAGTGCGGTGTTAAACAACAAACAAAAACAAATCTATTCTGGTTAGAAATGCTCTCAATGAGTGTCAGTGGTTGACATTGTGTAAGTGCTTTGTGTTCATACTTCATAGCCCTTGTGATGTAAGTAGATTAGCATCTTCTTTGTTGGTGATAAGGACACTCAGCTGATGCCTTCAGTGTTGAACTCCACATCACCCTTTGGGGGTACTCACATATACATTGTCAGTCAGGACCGTGGGATTTATTTACCTTAAAAAGTGTTCAATGTATAATGAAACTCAACACACTCACACAGTCGTGCCCATTTTCAAGTTAGTAAAGCCTCAAAGAAAAGATGTGTTTCCCCATCAGAATAAAATATTTAGGAAATAATTTTGGCAACATGACCATTGCTGACTTGATGAGAACAAAAACAAAACATGACCTTCCTTGTTTTGACATTTGGTTTTATTATATAGATCATTCAAGCATGGTAAATACATATGGGAAGTGACTCTACCTTATCAAATTTACAGACGAGTGCAGTTGGAAACAGCTGGAACAAGCTATGCTGAACACTATTCCAACTCGCTGAAAACTGTCTGACTTCAATTACATGTAACAACAATCATGCTTCACATTTGATTGGAACTTGAAACTATAGCAGGGCTGGATGTAAGGAACTTGAAACTATAGCAGGGCTGGATGTAAGGAACTTGAAACTATAGCAGGGCTGGATGTAAGGAACTTGAAACTATAGCAGGGCTGGATGTAAGGAACTTGAAACTATAGCAGGGCTGGATGTAAGGAACTTGAAACTATAGCAGGGCTGGATGTAAGGAACTTGAAACTATAGCAGGGCTGGATGTAAGGAACTTGAAACTATAGCAGGGCTGGATGTAAGGAACTTGAAACTATAGCAGGGCTGGATGTAAGGAACTTGAAACTATAGCAGGGCTGGATGTAAGGAACTTGAAACTATAGCAGGGCTGGATGTAAGGAACTTGAAACTATAGCAGGGCTGGATGTAAGGAACTTGAAACTATAGCAGGGCTGGATGTAAGGAACTTGAAACTATAGCAGGGCTGGATGTAAGGAACTTGAAACTATAGCAGGGCTCGATGTAAGGAACTTGAAACTATAGCAGGGCTCGATGTAAGGAACTTGAAACTATAGCAGGGCTCGATGTAAGGAACTTGAAACTATAGCAGGGCTGGATGTAAGGAACTTGAAACTATAGCAGGGCTGGATGTAAGGAACTTGAAACTATAGCAGGGCTGGATGTAAGGAACTTGAAACTATAGCAGGGCTCGATGTAAGGAACTTGAAACTATAGCAGGGCTCGATGTAAGGAACTTGAAACTATAGCAGGGCTGGATGTAAGGAACTTGAAACTATAGCAGGGCTGGATGTAAGGAACTTGAAACTATAGCAGGGCTGGATGTAAGGAACTTGAAACTATAGCAGGGCTGGATGTAAGGAACTTGAAACTATAGCAGGGCTGGATGTAAGGAACTTGAAACTATAGCAGGGCTGGATGTAAGGAACTTGAAACTATAGCAGGGCTCGATGTAAGGAACTTGAAACTATAGCAGGGCTCGATGTAAGGAACTTGAAACTATAGCAGGGCTGGATGTAAGGAACTTGAAACTATAGCAGGGCTGGATGTAAGGAACTTGAAACTATAGCAGGGCTGGATGTAAGGAACTTGAAACTATAGCAGGGCTGGATGTAAGGAACTTGAAACTATAGCAGGGCTGGATGTAAGGAACTTGAAACTATAGCAGGGCTGGATGTAAGGAACTTGAAACTATAGCAGGGCTGGATGTAAGGAACTTGAAACTATAGCAGGGCTGGATGTAAGGAACTTGAAACTATAGCAGGGCTCGATGTAAGGAACTTGAAACTATAGCAGGGCTGGATGTAAGGAACTTGAAACTATAGCAGGGCTGGATGTAAGGAACTTGAGTTAACTTGCACCAGTGCATGCTGACATGAAAACCGAGGCATCAGACAACCAGGTTGCCCACTGGTCCCATCAGTTTATCAAAGTTGTCACTCATTTGAATCACACAATCAGCCATACCCAACCATCGCAATGGTAACAAGATGGACATATTTCATGAACAATATGCAAGTTTAATAATTCGATCATCCCATCATGATATAACTACCGGTATCACAATAAATCTATCTCCTGTCACCTGACACAAGAACAATGGACCTTCTTCACCAAACAAACCAAGTGGCAATCCAATTATTTCTAAATACTGTAATTCGTGAAATTAATGCGTCTCCAAAAGAATGCGAACGCTGGCCCCTTGCCAAAAATGCGACTCAATATGAATGCGACACCCCCCTCCTCTCAAGCATCAGTGGATATGTTATCTAAAGAAAATGTCCTCTGACAGGTTTACAGGAGAATCCTCATCCTTACATTAATCCAATCACACACCAAATAGAACTGCTTATTAGCGCTGAGTACTGTACTTCCGCTAAAACAATGCATGCGTGTCGGCCTTTGACGCAGTCGCAAAGAACAAAGACACCGTGTTGGGTGAATGGCACTGTCTGGACTTGCAGGTGTGATCAGTGATGACATAAGTGTGTAGAACTCTTGTCTTGACCTCAGCAGTGACAATTCACAGGATGTAATTAGTGTTTGAATGATATTGTTTATATACTTGTTACAAGTGCTGCTCAATAAACAGTGATGTTGAAAACATAGTTGTTTGTTTTCAATGTATGTCTAAGTTGGTATTTCTACTATACAAAATGTCTTATTGCTGATATAAATGCGATGTTTAATAATGCGAGCCAAGACCACTCGCATTTTTCGCATTTAATATACGCTCGCGTTAATTTCAAGATTTACAGTATATCAACAATACATGCATAACCATGATAAAGGCAAAAAACAGCTTGTGCCACATGCAGTAACTCTTAAGTTTTCTTTCACAAGGCAAATATCACAGTTACATCTCCAAATAGTATTCATCACAACATATTGCCAGTTCATGTAGTATCAGAATAGAGAAGAAGAAGAAAGAAAATCACGTTTAGGTGCCTATTTCAGAAATCATTCAACCTCATTTGACATTACATTCAAAATGACCTATGGTAAACTTTGATTGGTTGGTTGGTTTGTTGTTTAATGCCGCACTCAGCAATATTCCAGCTATATGACGGCGGTCTGTAAATAATCGAGTCTGAACCAGACAATCCAGTGACTAATATCATGAGCATCAATCCCTGCAATTGGGATCGATGACATGCATCAACCAAGTCAGCGAGCCTGACCACCCGATCCCATTAGTCGCCTTTTATGACAAGCATAGTCACCTTTTACGGCAAGCATGGGTTGCTGAAGACCTATTCTACCCCGGAATTGATGGGACCAAGGTGCATAAAGGTTTGTTTGGTGCACCTTGGTTTTCATGTCACTATGCATCTGGTGCAAGTTAAATCAAGTTCCTAGAGTCAAGTCCTGTGAGTGAGTGAGTGAGTGAGTATGGTTTTACGCCGCTTTTAGCAATATTCCAGCAATATCACGGCGGGGGACACTAGAAATGGGCTTCACACATTGTACCCATGTTGGGAATCGAACCCGGGTCTTCTGCGTGACGAGCGAATGCTTTAACCACTAGGCTACCCAACCGCCCCATCAAGTCCTGTCGTCAGAGGCCGCATCTGTGGTCGAGTGGGTATAGCGTTTGCCCAGAGAGCGGAAAGTCATGAATTCGATCCCAGGCCTCGTCATACCAAAAGATGCCCAAACATGGTACTTGTTGTTACTCTGCCTGGCACCTGTATTAAGGGGCAAAAACAAGGACTGTTCAGCTCGGAGTCAGTATGTTAAACTGCGGCATGAGGCCTTTGTGGGCTAGCACTATAAATCGGCATCAGTCTGCACTAGTACAAGCAACCAAACACACACACACACACACACATCATTATAAGTGCAACAATCTTGAAAGTGACGTTAAACCCTATTTCACCTAACCTCACCTGTAGTCAGAAACTACTTCAACTAAGTAAAGATCTAATTATTGGAGCAACATCTGATGTATTGTTTAATAGGCATTACTTAGAAGTTGACGTATGACAAAGTAGACAGAATTTATGGATCTGATGGTGTAAAAGCCACGCTCAGACAGACAGACTGTAATTATGTTATTGATAGTTCCCAGCTGGGACATAAACATTTCCAACATTTTACAAAGGCCCGTGTTAATAACAGCAGTTTCTTGCTGGAAATACATAAAATTGTTCAGTCATATTCCTTTTTTAATTAAGATAGACATATCAAATGTTGTCTTCATTTAGATTTGATACATACATGATACAGTAAACCATGGTTCTAACAAACTCAAAGGGACCACTATTGTTAGTTTGTTGTAACTGTAGTTCGTTGTAAGCATATATACAGCAAATGGATAGGACCAAAAAACAGTTTGTTATATCCGTCACTTGTCACAACAGACCTCTTGCCACGACAGACCGCTTGTCATGACAGACCTCTTGTCACGACAGACCTCTTGCCACGACAGACCTCTTGCCACGACAGACCGCTTATCATGACAGACCGCTTGTCATGACAGACCGCTTGTCATGACAGACCACTTGTCACATCAGACCGCTTGTCAGGACAGACAGCTTGTCATGACAGTTTGTCACAACAGACCACCTGTCATGACAGACCGCTTGTCATGACAGACCTCTTGTCACGATAGACCTCTTGTCACGACAGACCTCTTGTCACGATAGACCTCTTGTCACGACAGACCTCTTGTCACGACAGACCGCTTGTCACGACAGACCGCTTGTCACGACAGACCTCTTGTCACGACAGACCTCTTGTCACGACAGACCTCTTGTCACGACAGACCTCTTGCCACGACAGACCGCTTGTCATGACAGACCACTTGTCACGACAGACCTCTTGCCACGACAGACTGCTTGTCATGACAGACAGCTTGTCAGGACAGACAGCTTGTCATGACAGTTTGTCACAACAGACCACCTGTCATGACAGACCGCTTGTCATGACAGACCTCTTGTCACGACAGACCTCTTGCCACGACAGACCGCTTGTCATGAGAGACCTCTTGTCACGACAGACCTCTTGCCACGACAGACCGCTTGTCACGACAGACAGCTTGTCATGACAGACCTCTTGTCACGACAGACCTCTTGTCATGACAGACAGCTTGTCAGGACAGACAGCTTGTCATGACAGTTTGTCACAACAGACCACCTGTCATGACAGACCGCTTATCACGACAGACACTTGTCACGACAGACCTCTTGCCACGACAAACTGCTGGTCATGACAGACCGCTAAACACGTGCAGCTTAAATGTCAATGAGGTTTAAAAAGAGAGTCACACCTCAGATTTTGTTACCTTTCAAACTCATGTAGATCTTTCACGACAAACAATAATAAACAGACTTTACACAAGAACATTTAGAGAACAAAACACAATCACAGGGTTTAATTATATCTGTTTGAAAATAGAAATCCTGGGTTCATCAAAATATTGATTAATTTACTGCTTCCAAAAAATGATGATCACAGGTTTTTTTGCCATTGAGTATATAGCATCAACACCGATCAAGGAACTGGCATATCCACGTCCCCTGTCTACAGACTGAAAAGCAACAGGACCTCATCTGCTAGGCTGTGCTTCCTTTATGTCAGGATCAGAACATTTCCTCAGACAGCTGGGAGAGAAGTTCATCACTCAAGTCTGAAAGAGAACAACAAAATGAATAAACAATAATCATAATTTTAGCCTGGTGGAATCAAAATCAGGTGTTGACATCACAAGCAGCATTTGGCATTAAGAGGTATTCTCTTATATAGATAGTTTTAGAAATAAGGGTACACCTTAATCTTTAACTTTAACATCAGGGCCAAGACCAAGCGGCCAGACACCTTGACATTCATGCTCAATTTTGAACACTGACGAATAATAGCCAACTTGTCCCAAAGTAATTTCTGACGGGTAGTTTATGTAACATACATAGTGTTGTATTACAGAAAACATGCAGTCCATCCAGGTTTGAACTAGCAGAGCTTAAGACAAGCTGCGTATTTGCCTAAAATATGCATTAAATAAACTGAAATATGCAGACAAATCAAATCCTCGCGCATCAAAAACACAAAACAAGAGTCATCTGAAAATGACATATCCCCCCGACGTTGCATGTCGGTAAACTGTGTGTACCTTCAAATGTATTTAGATTGGCAAGGAAATCTTTTTCCTCGATGCCAAAACCAGAAATATAATGAAGGTTATTAAATATTGGTTCATGTAGCTCACTTTCTGATGATCTCATGAAATTGTAATAACAATAATTTCGCAGATTCGCATATGAATAGCTCTGTAGTACTTAGCCTCATGACACAAAGGCATAAAGAGAATGTACTAGGTTATGTAGCTCACATCATATATAGTATATGATATTGGTAAATAGTACACCTTAGAATTATATGTCAGGGGCTACAAATTAAAAAGATTAAAATCTAAAAATAACAAACTTCACTACTAGTGAACATGATTGATATGTGCATAAAGTTTGGTGAATCTCTGTCGCATGGTTTAGAAGATATGCTCCAGACGAGGACATTACCCTAAGTTCATAAATTTTCAATTTAAATTGAAAATAGATAAAAAAAAGAAAAAATCTGTTAATCGCAAAGGCACCACTACATAACCTGCTTGATAGGTGTAAAAACTTTTGAGAAGCTAAGTTGTATGGTTCGGGAGATATGGTTCGGACAAGAGCACTACCCTCAAATTTCCTAAGTTCATCATATTTCCATGGAAAGGACAAAAATAAAAAATTCTAAAAATCTCTAAATAGCAAAAGGCACTACTACTGAGCCTGATTGGTAAGTGTACCAAGTTTTGTGAAGCTAGGTTGTACGGTTTAGGAAATATGCTCCGGACAAACAATGATTACAGACGGACAGACGGACGGACAGACAGACATACTGATGGCTATATGCCTCCGTCATTATATGTCGGGGGGATAGAAAAGAAAAGTACAAAAGCATTGAACAAAGCTGAAATTGTTTTTAATTACGATCAAATGAGACTAACCCAAACCAAATCAATGAAACTGCTGTACACTAAGATACATTGATTCATTTTGTAACATGTTGCAGTGTTACCATGGTTACTACAATGCATGTAACACCCTGACATTATTCATGTTAATTGTAAACATAATTGTCCCAAACACGTCTCTTCATGACCTTGGTATGTATAAGCATTATCGGACCCTACGCTCAGCCTTGTCGATCTCATCTCATCCAGTGTTCATTCAGTTGCAGAAAATGTAGGACCTAGACTAACATCTAGTCTATGAAATGAACATATCGTACAGAAAAAAACAGTTGTTCAGTTATCTTAATAATAATATAATAAAAGGGAGCCCAGTGACTCTCTTCATTTTCAGATACTGATACTGGAGTAATCTAGACTTGCCAAACATTATAGACTTGCATGGGCTGTATTTGATATATATTTGTATCAGGGTCTGTAAGACAGACTATGTAGGACCCTTCAGTGACAATTGATAACGAGGGTTGCTTTCAAAGAAGGTGGTTTGGGTTTATTTTTTAAAATGAAACGAAGGTCGTCCAGGATGATGACAGACCAGTTGTGAAAGCAGAGCTATTGTCGGTTTACTCTTCGACTGATGTTTGGCTCTCGGATCTTCAAAATCGTATCCAGCCATTATCATGACTATTTGGGTGCTCATAGAAATATTGCTGCCTTCCTTGTATTTTGTTGATTATTCTAAATATGCCAGTAGCGAGCGTTATCGATGTTAGTGCAAGCCAATCAAACAATGTGTTTCACATGGAAGGAACTGCAATAGTGATTTCACTTAAACATGTTGAAAGCTTTGCAATAAAGTTCTTAAAAAAAATATCTTGTTGTATTAGGGTATTAACGGTGGCACACAATGGAATGGATCTTACTTCTTATACACACTGCTCATTTCCGATGCAATACCAGCAAGTTTAGCACAGAGACAAATGATTATGTTTTAAGTGCTTGTTACATATAACATGTGTTATATTTCAATTGAAAAGCTTTTGTATTGGAAACCAGGGATGGAAATTAGCACTAGCCCATTAGCCCTGGTGAGTTTGGTTGATATTAAAGGTGTCCAACATGTCCAAAGGGCTTGTACCATTTAAAACATATTGTTTGGTTTTGCGATATGTTATCACTATTTGGGTTAGTCAATGTTCTTAGTTGTTGTTGTTTGTTGTTAAACGCCGCACTCAGCAATATTCCAACTATGTGATGGCAGTCTGTAAATAATCGAGTCTGGACCCGACAATACAGTGAATGACATCATGAGCATCGACCCACGCAATTGGGATCGATGACATGCATCAAGTCAGCAAGCCTGATCACCCGATCCTGTTAGTCGCCTCTTACGACAATCATAGTTGCCTTTTACGGCAAGTATGGGTTGCTGAAGACCTATTCTACCCCGGATCTTCACAGGCCATGTTCTTATGATTTTAGTTAATTTCCACCCCTAGAAACTATGCACCCATCTCTATCTCTATCACAAAAAAGCCAAGTTCATATTGGGGGTTGGCCATTTTTACAATCTTCTACCAACATTTTTATTTTCTCCCCTATCACTGTCATCATTGGTGATTAACTCCCCGATGGATTCTTTGTTTGTTCATTCATGTTCCCCCCACCCCTCCCCACTCCCCTTTTTTCAGAAAGACTTCAAGCATTCATTTCAGCCTTCGAAACATATTTTGACAAATTCTTGCTTAAAAATTTGAAATCTAAACAAAAGAACATTCTCGAATGGCAAATATATGGTCTAGATTGTATAGATTCAGTGGTGTGTGTGTGTGTGTGTGTGTGTGTGTTCAAACTAGTATGTAACCAGTAAACAGTTTTGTAATCAATAACAATTGTGTACAATAAACCTGGGAAAGGGCCTCCCTACATAAATGTTTTCCTTGATGAGTAAAATACTGGAATACAGTATTTGACTACCATTGGACTTGGAATATTTAAGGATTTTTTTTTCTTAAAATGGAAATAATAACAAAACATGTGGCAACTTTATGATGATGTGGGCGGTGCCTGAGAACCAAGACTATTATTTTTTTTTTTATCCTAATCAATCTGTAAAACCAGAAATCAAGATAATCTTGCCTCACCTAAAATACATAGCACAGAACAAACCAACAACTGACAATCACAGAACAATACTCACCATCTCCCCACAGCTCATCACCACCGACAGCATCTCCACTCCCAGGGCTTCCAACACCACCAAGGGAGCTAACTCCATTCGAACCACCACTCTTCCTCCCTCCAACAGAAGAACTCTGAGCTGTCACAATGTTAGATGGCACAGAGCTACCTCCAAAACTGGGCAACTGGGCCTTGCTTGTTGTCTGACTTGACATCACCACGGAACAAGATGCCCTGTTGCCGGAGCCTGCAGTCTTACAGTTAGAAGTTACAGACCCAGCTTGTGAGAAATTCCTTTGACTGTCACAAACGGCAGCTTTTGTTCCTCTTAAATGTGGACTTGCTCCAAGGACGGGTGAACCTGCAACACTGCTACTAACATTCTTAAAACAAAATTTCCTTGTAGGAGTCATCTGATTATTTGGAGAACCATCGATGCTGTTGTTAGCAGCCTGACACTGTCTTCTCACAGCAGGATCAGCTGTGTAATTCACACTCCCAGTCGAGGCATATGATTGTCTAGAGGGAGTGGTCTGTCTCACTGGATTAGCTTGCAAAGGAGTTCTGAATGGAGTTGTCCCCCCTTCCGTGGAATATCCGCTTGACTGTTGAGGTGTCGACCAGCTGCTACTTTGCATTCTGGGAACAGTTTTGTTCAGTTCGGGCGATACCCTGGACGTGTTAGGGGTACTTGGTTGCTGCAGCGCCTGCATGTTAGCGGTGTGGATGACGTCCTTCAGACATGCCCTATATTCACAAACCTCTTCGTTTGATCTAGTTACTCGGTGAGGATACAGGTGGACGATGTTTTTGGGGGTAATGTTCAGGTAATGTGTCCTGCTTGTGGGGCTGACAACACTTATCTGAAACCGAACAAAATGACATCTTCATCATTGGATGTTATTTACTAATAAATCAAAGTTCACTGGAGTATTTAGCCTTTCTATGACATAATTTTGTTGTTTAACACCGCACTCAGCAATATTCCAGCTGTATGACAGCTGTCTGTAAAAATTCGAGTCTGGACCAGACAATCCAGTGATTGCCATCATGGGCATCAATCCTTGCAATTGGGATACGATGACATGCATCAACAAAGTCAGCGAGTCTGACCACCCAAACCCGTTAGTCGCCTCTTACGACAAACATAGTCGCCATGAACGGCAAGCATGGGTTGCTGAAGACCTATTTTACCCCAGACCTTCACAGGTCTTAGCCTTTCTAAGAAAGGTGCTCTAAAATCCAAATGGCTTGATCCAACTATCCAATAGAAAAAAACAAACGGGGTTTCTGCAGGGCTCCAGGTAACGGTTTTAGCCATTGAGTCTTACACTCACTTTATTATTCACCTACAGCAGATAAGGTATCAACAAGCATCACCTGTCTGAGAACCAGTGCCACGCCAGGCTGGAGATCTGCAGCAAACTCCTTGACAACTTCTCGGTGAACAGTTCCAGAGATCTTCCCTACACAAAATTGAAAACTTCATTTTAAAGCTGATGATAAAATACTCTTCGGATTTCATGGTACGATTTGGGTCTGTCACCAGGCCATGTTGAAAGAGCTTATCCAACTGAAGCTTGCTTACATTATAGCCGTAAAGTTAAATCAACATCAAGATATGTAGATATTTGAACACAAAATGCCATGTAGAAAGTGGTCAAATGTAACAAATGTTATATTTGGGATAACACTGTCTTGGTAAAGTACAGATTCTCGTCCGGTAATCGAATCCACAACCGCCAGAGTGAGGCACCTAATCGCCAGCACATAAAGTCAGCAATCTAACCCACTCAGCCACCCAGGGTTCCACAAAATTGAAAGTCTGACAACTGGTAGCCTAGATCACATGCTTTGTGTACCCCTCTGTAGATATTTGTTTCCAAGAAGCTTATCAGTGATGTTCTAGCAAAAACAGTATAATGTGTTCATATACAACAACACAAATACTATTTAATAGACTGACAATTCATCTCAGTTTCTTCAACATGGTCAAAGTTTGCAAATTACTTGACCTTATCTTTCTCAAAACCCAACTGTATATACTCCCAGCAGTGTGGAGAGATGTCTGGGACAGTGTACACCTGAATCACAGCTTGCATCTGTATTTATTTACCAAATTATCAATTCAATATTTAAGGCCTCATGAAACATATACAAACACTACACTATGTAGTACAAGCTAGGGGTGAAACGACACAGCAAGGTCACGATATGATATGTATCACGATACGTAGGTCACGGTACGATACGTATCGTGATACGCATTTTACATCAAACCGATGGAAACTTCTTGACTATAAATATACCAGAGCAGGTGCATAACGAAAAGCTAGCTGTACACACATGGTTATTTCAGCAGTGAACTTGAAATGCCAATTACAACACATTTTGCTTTATCTGACTGACAAAAACGAGTAGTTAGTAATTAATTTCAGCAAGTGTATCGTCTTGCACCGGTGCCCCCATGTATCGTTTTTGAAGCCAGTATCCCAACAATACATGCAATGGCATCTTCACATAATGGAAACCTGGTTCCAGCACCTGCATGCAATGGCATCTTCACATAATGGAAACCTGGTTCCAGCACCTGCATGCAATGGCATCTTCACATAATGGAAACCTGGTTCCAGCACCTGCATGCAGTGGCACCTTCACATAATGGAAACCTGGTTCCAGCACCTGCATGCAGTGGCACCTTCACATAATGGAAACCTGGTTCCAGCACCTGCATGCAGATGGCGTCTTCACATAATGGAAACCTGGTTCCAGCACCTGCATGCAGATGGCGTCTTCACATAATGGAAACCTGGTTCCAGCACCTGCATGCAGATGGCGTCTTCACATAATGGAAACCTGGTTCCAGCACCTGCATGCAGATGGCATCTTCCTCACCTGTCCTGTCTTTGAGAGTGACGCTGGCATCCAGACCCTGGATGTCGACACTCTCTAGAACTGCAAACATGAGAGCCACCTTGCCTTCAGGGAGCAACTTCTTAGCAGCCTAGATCATAAGAAAAATATGAGTGAGTGAGTGAGTATGGTTTTGCACCACTTTATGGAATATTCCAGCAATATCAGGGCAGGGCACGCCGGAAAATAGGTTTCACACATTGCACCCATGTGGAGAATCGAACCTGGGTCTTCAGCGTGACGTGCCAATGCTTTAACCACTAGGCTACTAGTGGTGGGACAATACGGCGATGCATCAGTGGATCGCGATATTTGACTTCACACATTAAGTAAAAAATATCAATTCAAACCTTAAATGTTACTTTAATGGCTGTTAAACCAAGCACTCATTAGTAGTGAAAAAGTAAATATTTTCACCCATTGTGCAATAGTTGACGCTGCCAACTGTAAGTCGTCAGTGTGCCAGGTATTCGGCCATCCTTTCTATGAAAAAGATGGCTTATGCACCACAGATAAGAGCACATACAAGTATCGTGATACATATCGGATCACCAACAGGGTATCGAGATACGTATCGGATCGTCAACAGGGTATCGAGATACATATCGGATCGCCAACAGGGTATCGAGATACGTATCGGATCGTCAACAGGGTATCGAGATACGTATCGGATCGTCAACAGGGTATCGAGATACGTATCGGATCGCACAGTTGGTGTATCATCCCAGCCCTATAGGCTACCCTACCGCCCACATACACAAAATGAATTCGTTCTTGATTATTCTTTCGTTGCTGCTATTCTTTTCTCAGTATCTGCATATGCCTGTGAAGATCCGGGGTGGATTCGGTCTTCAGCAACCCATGCTTGTCTAAAGAGGCGACAAACAGGATCGGGTGGTCAGATTCCCTGACTTGGTTGATGCATGTCATCATATCCCAATTGTGATTACATAGATGTCTTTGACACAATACCTAATAGAAATAGTACCAAATTTAGTTCCGCACAACTGACACCTCTGAGTTTAAGCAAACCAGTTGAAAATGTAAAAATGCAAACATGTTTAGGGGTGTCCTCTGGAATTTAAGTTTGCCACAAGAATACTTTTGATCCGTCTTCGAACTCGGTGAATGTCATGTCAACTAAAGCGAGATAACAAGCAGTTATAAGTTGAGCCCCTTCCTCTTCAATGTTATTGATAATTCCCCTTCTAAATTTCTGAATCACCAGGTCGAGTTTGTGTATCACACTGTTGCACTGTAAATTAACATGTTCAAACTTCATAGTTTTATTTGCCTTGTGTTTGTCTATTTGAGTTGTATGAAATTACATATGTCATCAGTTTATAGGTAAACATCATATCAAGGTACTAAATAAGAACACATTTACAAAGGTGCCCTTCATGGATCATGAACTTATATTAATCATTTGATTACAATTTTGCCATAGGCACTCTTATACAGACAGTGTAAGACATTTGAGTGAGTGAGTGAGTTTTTACGCCGCTTTTAGCAATATTCCAGCAATATCATGGCAGGGGACACCAGAAATGAGCTTCACACAATGTACCCATGTGGGGAATCAAACCCAGGGCTTTGGCGTGATGAGCAAATGCTTTAACCATAGGCTACCCCGCCACCCCGTAAGACATTTGAAATACGAAGATGATGTCTACATGATCAACATGATCAAACCAGTTAACATGACAGGCTGCATCGTTGTCATTACCTTCTGTAGGCTGGATGCAATGGAGTACTTGTTGAGGATGTCCTGAGACTCCTGGTGTAGGTCGTCGACCAGAGAGCTCCAGGGCTGGTCACTGAACACATCGTCTGAAGACTGGGAGGACAGGATCACTCCATCATCCTGCAACATCATCTACAGAGTGAGTGAGTGAGTTGGCTTTAAACACTCGGAACAGTATTTCACTTACTTAAAACTTAAGTTTGGAGGAAAGAGTATTTCACGTACTTAAAGTTTACTTTTGGAGAAAAGAGTGAGTGAGTGAGTGAGTTGGGTTTAACGCCACTTTTAACAGTATTCCAGTTATATCACGGCGTGTCAGCTTAATGTGGGAGGAAAGCCCGAAGTGATGAAGGTCTCAGACGTTTACCACTTCGGTGAAACCCACGAGCACGGGTATGGTGCTGACAAACCTAGAAACATAATTGGGGCGAACCGGGATTCGAACCCACAATCATAGGTTTCTGGCGTGCCCAACTGATGCAACTCTGCACAGTGAATCGCGGCACCTTAGACGACTGGGCCACCCGTGTCCCCTTTTAAGAAAAGAGTTTTTATCACTTGGTCACTGACACTGATGACATGACCACTGTATATTTCTTGATGCAACAGGAACAAGCATGAAATACTCATATCTCCCACCAATATGACACCTCCAGTTGTGTGCAAGGCAAGAAATATTGCCTGGTTTTCAAGATCTGCTCCGTAAAGGAGCACTACAGCCATTTTCAAGCCAAAGTCATCGCAATGGAAACTCAATTTTTTTTCAAAAATCCCAAACTATCAAAATGCACCAGTTCACCACTGGAACTAACTATGTGCCAAGATTACTTAATATATCTCTCATGAATATTGAGTTCTGCTCTGGAAACTTGACAGACGGACAAACAGCACCCATTCCCATTTCCCCTTTCCACTTTGGGATCAACCATTTATCATTCTTAGTGGCCCGGGATATTTGTTTGAAACAGATAATTTTTTAAGTCAGAGCGCCATCAGATACCATATCTCAGTCTGAAAGAATGACCTGCAACACATTATCATGATTATGATTATGATTCAGTGCATTCAGCATGTCCAGCAAATTTTGTTATTAAACTTTGGTAAAAGTATTTTCTCTGAATTGTTTTTAACAGGTTATGTTTTTAAAATGACCCAGGACCCCTTGCAAAAGAATACCAAATGCTCCGCTCCTTATGGTAACTTACCCTTGACTCTGTGGGATTCTGCCTGGAGACGCCGGTGAGGACCACATTTGCAATACTCTGTCCTGGACTCTGAAACAGGTCAACATGGTTAACAGCGATTGCAACTGACATTGTTAGTCCACTAGTCCTTATAATGATAACAATATCCCATAGCAAAACCCTTAAAAATGGCAAATGTCTAATAGTCCTTATGATTGGTTGGTTGGTTGCTTTGTTGTTTAACGTCGCACTCAGCAATATTCCAGCTATATGACGGCGGTCTGTAAATAATCGAGTCTGGACCAGACAATCCAGGGATTAATATCATGAGCATCAATCCACGCAATTCGGATCGATGACATGCTTCAACCAAGTCAGTGAGCCTGACCACCCGATCCCGTTAGTTGCCTTTTACGACAAGCAGAGTCACCTTTTACAGCAAGCATGGGTTGCTGAAGACCTATTCTACCCCGGAAATTTTAACGGGTCTAGTCCTTATGACACCTTAACTATTGGGCAATTTGTCAAGGACCATAGAACTAGTGCCAATTTCTACTGCTGGTCAAATGCCCATTATAAACACCAATGATTTCTGGTCCATTGCAGGATTTGCAAAACATGTGTACCTTCAACTTAGCGTCAACAGATATTTTCCAAATCTTTTCATGTTATAAATCAAGGTGCTCACATGATTTGATGCACTTTGCGAAGTAAGACCAATCTTATTTCAATATACATGTTGATTATCGATCAGATCATCTTCACTGGGTGCCGACATTTTGTATGAAGCAAATGTAAGTGATATGAGAGGTGGAATGTGATTGGTCAATGGGAGGGACATAGAAGGGACATAACTTGTAACAGCCACCGGTGGCGCTATGATCGAGCCCAGAATTTCCAGCCTAGTTTGGCAAGGGTGAAAACTGGACTTTTACAGTCAGCTAATTCCCTTGTCTCAGGAAGATGTACAGGAGGACTTACCAGCTTCGGCAACAAGCCAGCAGGGCCGGGGAACTTTCTTTTGTGTCGCTGCTTGGGTGTTGTAGTTTCACTCCTCTTCTGTCTTACTGGTTCCACACGAAGATCTCCTTGCTGTGATACATGGTTAGAAAGGTAGGCCGAACTTGTCGAACTGTCATTCCTAACAACAGCTACTCCTTGATCAGACACTGCTTGTTGTGAGATGATGCCAGACCTTGTTTCAAGCAGGGCATTTCTATTGAGCACTTTGTTCTTTACATTCAGACTCTGTTCTTTGCTTGATGTATTATTACTGTTACAGTCAGTCCTGTATGTGCCATTGACACCATAACACAGCCCACGATTGTCAATATCGGACTGAGCATTGCGCATTGAGCTTTGTGACTGCTCCTGAATTGACCTTGACATGAAATGGTTGTCATTTTCTGTTAAAGCGTTAATTCTCAGTCTCTTACTTGAAGTTGAACAAGGTTCTGGACGCAATACACCTTTGTCGCATTCAAGCTGTCGCTTCTGTCCCTGGCCTGTTACTGTTGTAAGATTAGTCACAGTAGCACATACCTCTGCTGAACTTGTGTTTGTGATGTCCTCTATAGGAAGATTCTGAAAATATTGATACACACTAGGGATCTACCATATTACAAAACTGTTTGTCTACCATGCTTGTTTGCTGATTAACACCGCATTAATGGATACCTCATTCAGACACAGTATACCTCACTCCTGCTGAAGGGGTTGTCGTCGACACAGGTACTACACAAACATACCCCAGGTATGTTTCTGTATACAGAAATGTACCCTTGCCAAAATTAAAATACAGAAATGCAGATGAGTCCATATTCCCAACCCGAACCCGAAACCGAAAGCAGTTGTTGTTGTAGTTCTGGTTCGCCTGATTACAAGTTTATGGGTGCTACTTCTATACGATCTCTTGCCAACAGTTCCCTACCCTTGCGTAACATTACAGCCTTAAAGGCATTCAACTTCATAAGATAATCTAAAAGTTCCTCCTGTCAAAAGTGTAGTGCCATGTTGAATTTAACCGTGCTTTGGCATACAGGAAGTGACGAATACCTAAAGAACCGGTTACGCGCACTGCACCCTGTGGCGGAATGGACTCATCCTAGGGTACATTTCTGTAGTACCTGTGTTGACAATGACCCCTTCAGCCTTACTCCTAGCCGAGAGACGCGATTTGGTGCTACAGTCAAGACATGACCCTACAAGATGAGATGGGTCCAACGTGGCTTCGGCTAAGTTGACTCCAGTATATCACTAATGTCAGTAATCACACGGTGTGGTCGATAGGATGGACTGCATTCAATGCCACGAAGTCCCGACACACAACTAATCATAGCATGCTTATTACCAGTGTTGATTTCAGGTTACAGGTTGATTTCAACTTGGGCTGCCAGATTTTCAAATCCCCCTGCCCGACGGTCGGGTTATATTTCATATGTAAAAATATTTTAAATATTTCCCGATGATAAGCATTATTTACATGATGTATTCTTGGATATTAAATACAAATCTGACCTAAAAAGTGTTTGCTATTTCTTTTCTTGCATTACTTCACGTTCAATGAATTCGATTTAAAGTTATTTAAATTATCCCAAAGACGTATGTACGTCCGTGATTATCCTGATAAACATATGATTATAGTGGGCAGGCAGGTTTTGGTCAGGGCTGGCAAGTATTTCAGCTAGCCAGTCCTGTGGTCTGGCTGAAAATTTTGGGAGTTTCATACCCTGATATTATTACTAATAAGTACGTCTTGGCTATTTATTGGCAAAGAGTAAGCTAGGCCTATTGAATGTAGGGGGAAAATATATCAGCTGATTATCATATAAACGATAAGCATTTACGCAGCGTGTGTATTTCATGCGAAAATATTCCATGGTTTTATCTTAGGCTACTACAGATCAAGTCTGAAAAGATATATCGATCATAATAGCATTATCGGTGCTATTTTGCACAGTTTGCGAGTTGTTTTCGGTCAACTTCTCTGACACCGAGACACTCACACAGTGACAAAAACCTACCTCCCAAAAGTTGTCATCGTCGTCAGGTATCTCAAACATCTTCTTTTTATCATTTCAGAGTGAGGGGTTGTGATATCACAAACATGTAGCAGCTGTTTAAAACGGTTTTGGCCAATATCAAACCGACAACGCTCACTGACATTGATTTAGCTCTTTCGTAAACCCGCCATGAAGGATCAACACTGTGCACTACGTCATCAATTTTTGTGGTCTTTCTGCTTATAGCTAAAGAGGCCGTAAAATACTTCTACTTCAGCTATTAGGCTAAGGGCATAGTTGTCAGATTTCAGTTTTTTCAGAGCTGCTGTATTTTTAGGGCTATTAATTCTCGCCACCAATCCCAACACCAAAACGTGTTTAAAAATGTTTATCCGACATGTTACCGTGCAGCTAAGAGAGTGTTGTAATAAGAACAGATATATTTATTGGACTGAAAGTTTATAAGAGCAATGTAAATATGGACATACGACATTGGATTGTTGTTTAACCCTGTGAAATGACTAAATAGTCTATATGGCATAATATGTAAAAAAAAACACAATTTAGAAAATAAATAAGTATTACAAAGTAGTGTCAAATATTTATGGAAGGCCTTCAAAAGTATTTATACTTTTAATATAGTTTCATGCAAATATATATCGTTGTTTATTATCGTCTAAAGTAAAGTTAGAAATGCTAAAAGATGTCTCGTCCTTGAGATAATTATAGCATTTAACAAATAATTGTAGTGTTTGAGTATCGAACAACGGCCTGTCGACCTGGGGCTTGAACTATACTCTTACAAAAAAGTAGGAGATCATGAAATACACTCTTCAAAAAAAGAAACACACAGGTAGATTTTTAGTACTTTTTTTGTACCAACAAAACGTTCATTTTTTTCTTTACTGTTTTCCTCCATGACTTTTTTGAACAAGTGTGAAAACAATGCCGTTTTAGACATTGCAAATCGACAATAGCGGCGTTTTGATGCACCGTTTGTCGAATATCAGGCCACCAACATGTTCCAATAACATATTTTCAATTTATATGCCGGATTTTTTGTGTAGTCAGGTTCAATGAACTGCATACTACCTGTGCGCTTCTTTTTTTGAAGAGTGTATGTATGTTAATACGAAGTATTAGAACAATGATAAGTGTTGACTACAAACATCCTGTGCAAGAACGTTTATGTCTGTAGAACACAAAATTGTATATACTATAGTTTGCACGTGCTGCACGCAGTAGCACCACGCACGTGCGTAGGGTGTCATTCCTGATTTTGACACTTTCAAGGAAGGTCGATTAATCCTTGTGGACCACTATTTCTGTTAATCTTATTGATTCTGCTTATCATATAGTTGTCATTTACTTGATTTTATTCATTTTTTGTGTGTATAAAATAGCGATGCGGCGTCTGCAACGCGCTGAGCGACGTTGGGCTATTGGCATGCTGGAATATGGCAGAAGTCAGCGTGCAGTGGCCAATACGTTCAAGTTTCACAGTCTGTGGTTAGCAGACTATGGAACAGGTACCAACAAACCCAAACTGTTGACGATTGACCCCGTTCAGGGCGTCCCAGGTCACCGACTAGAGTAAAGGATCGATCGATCCGATGCCAGGCTCCACGAACCAAGCTCAAACGGCGAATCAAATTTCTGCAAAAACACGACAACAAATCCCTTTAATACAGCGACTACGACAACATACTTCTACAACAACGACACTATCTATTACACAATAAACTAACAATCAACAACAATGACAACAACAACAACAACTACTAAAAGGCGACTTACGGGATCGGGTGGTCAGGCTCGCTGACTTGGTTGATGCATATCATCGATCCCAATTGCTTGGATCGATGCCCATGATGTCAATCACTGGATTGTCTTGTCCAGACTCGATTATTTACAGACCACCGTCCTATAGCTGGAATATTACTGAGTGCGACGTTAAACAACAAACAAACAAATAAAACAAACTACCACTACTACTACTACTACTACTACTACTACTACTACTACTACTACTACAAAGACTGCTATTAGTTAATGTCTGGAACTACGACTACTACTGCTACAACTGCTACTACTCTCAATAATTTTACTACTACTGCACATAAGAGTCATTTCTACACACATGGGTATGAATTAAAAACGATGTTACATGGCGGTAGTTCAGTCAGCAGTTCTACAAACATGACTATTCTTAAATCAGTTCACGATTTCACTGTCAAAAGCAAAATATTTGAGTAGCTTAATTTTATGCATGTAAAATGGAAAACTGTATGATCTTATTTCACAGACACCACTTGCTTCAATGTACTGGCTCCAAGTATTTCATTTGTGCATTTTGTATATTTATGTTTTGCACTATCTAATAAATAACCAGCTGTTGTTAAGTTATCACTTGGAGAGGTATTTATATAAGCAAGTTTTGCTTGTTTACCGATCCAGATTTCTTTTGAAATAAAAATATGTTCAAACCATATAGAGAGTCAACTTATATGGTTTTACGCGATTAAGTACAGCTAGTATTCAGAAGATGTCTGGTTATTTTCGGATATGAATCCCTTGAATGGCATGAGAACGTGTAAAGTCGTAAAAGTGCAACATTTCCAAAAAGGAAAATTCACAATAACCTCGACGTGCTCTTCTTTGTCGCTACAAGACATGGCGGTGTCACCACAGGGCGTGAGACACGAAGTGTTGAAAAACGAATCCGCTCGAATTACCTTCTGACTTTCAAATTACGATTTCTATCTGACAGTTATGTCTTTTCAATTATATTTGAAATGGTTCGTCACGTGTGAATAAACCCTTACATATTGCATGCCATGCATGCCTAAAAAAACTCTCCACAAGACAAGACGCGGGGCGACGTCAACGTTCCAATAGTCAGAGGGGCGGTCGGGTAGCCTAGTGGTTAAAGCGTTCGCTCGTCACGCCGAAGACCCGGGTTTGATTCCCGACATTGGTACAATTTGTGAAGCCCATTTCTGGTGTCCCCGCCGTGATATTGCTGGAATATTGCTAAAAGCGGCGTAACAACATACTCACTCACTCACGCCAAAAGTCAGAACAGAAAATTATTCACTCAAGGCTACATGGCATAGAATAATGAGGGAATTATCAATTTCCCTTTATGTCGAGCAGTGCCCTCTGCAGCTTGACACCTTGACACCTGGACACCTTGACACCTTGACCCCTGGACACCTAGACACATTGACACCTTGACACCTTGACACCTTTTCAGGTACAGCTGAGCCTGCTCTTTCTACGAAAATTTCACACGACACTTGTCAAATTCTATTCCCTATTTTGACGTGTACCATAAGTTTCCGTGGTTGTTTTGCAGGTGAACAGTTGATTTGCCTTTGCATGTGTTTGGCGGGTGCCAGTGATGGGGCAGGATACGCTTACGTTTTCGAGAACACCAGGTGTTACTATTTGATAGTGATCATAAGTCTTCAGCAACCCATGCTTGCCGTAAAAGACAACTATGCTTGTCGTAAGAGGCGACTAACGGGATCGGGTGGTCAGGCTTGCTGACTTGGTTGATGCATGTCATCGTATCCCAATTGTGTGGATCGATGCTCATGATGTCAATCACTGGATTGTCATGTCCAGACTCGATTATTTACAGACCGCCGTCACATAGCTGGAATATTGCTGAGTGCGGCGTTAAACAACAAACAAACAAACAAAATGTAATATAAGGTAACGAAAATAAACTGTGGTGTACACTTATGCAGGCGAGGTAATAACGCATCTAAATTTGGTGGACCCCGAATCGTTAACCCTTTGCTTAGGAAAGGACCTACAGTTTTGCAAGGATTAAGCAGGACACCTGCATGACTGGTTTCGCACGATGTCCCACCAGCGAATTTGTGAAAGATCAGTTGAACACCGCCCTGTGACTGAACCGTAACGTAATATGAGACCCGCGAACCCTATGCTACAATCGGTGTCTCATTAATGTGACTACAGTCCTATTGTGCAATCGCCCAGTGCATTGAAAACCCTCCCTCACATTCACTTAAGTGTGACGCAGCCACGGTCTAGTTAGTGCCCACTCCCCCTTATTGAAGAATAAACGAACGCTCATTGCAGTAAAACGTGTGCTGGATAATCAGCGCTCATGTATGCGTAAACTACTTTATAGAAGACGAAGAAGAATTTATTATAGTGTCACCCGCTGTATACATATGACAAGGCAAGAATGTAAAAAACTCAGCGGCCGGCCAAAATGGCTTACGAGACACTAAAAGAATATTTTATGTGTTTTCACACCGCATTTAATAATAATTATAAAAATAACATTCATAATATCCCCCGTACAAGCATCCTATATACACACAACCACATCCAGTCCCACATCCAGTCCTTCAGCAGCTTACTCAAACCACTCAAACACACCAGCTCATTCAAACACATCCAAACCCTCATTGAGAAGCGCTCAATCACATCCGAACCCTCACCCACGCCGCAACACAGTACCCTCACCCACACCCTATTCCCCAAACATACCCTCACCTGAACCCATTCCCGCATCCATACCAACTCGCATTATCAGCCACGCCCTCAATCACAACCACACCCTTTTCCACTTCCACAAAAAGAAGCATCAACCACGTACAAGGACAATCACAAAGTAACATCCACTGTCACATATACACACTCCCAACTAAACAATCATCTTCCCGAGGCAAGAGAGTTAACTGCCTATAAAAGTCCAGTTTCAACCCTTGCCGAACTAGGCTGGTATTATGGAGTGAGATTTTGGCTGGACTAACGAGTCTATGCATAGTCCAATCAAAATCGCGCACCGAAATCAAAATCCGGTTCGTAAACTGTCATGCAGAGTTCGGTCGATTGCAGGATTTGCAAAGCATGTGCACCGCCAACTCGTTGTCAACAGATATTCTCCAAATCGTTTCATGTTTTTAATCAAGGTGCTCACGTGATTTGATGCACCTCGCGATGTCAGACCCGTTTTATCACAGTATAGATCTTGATGGTCGATCAGATCGTCTTGACTCGACACACCATTTTGTTTGAAGAAAATGCAAGTGACACGAGAGTTGGAATCTGATTGGTCTGTAGGAGAGGCATAGAAGGGACATAACTCGTAACAGCCACTGGTGGTGCTACGATCAAGCCAAAGAATTCCAGCCTAGTTCG